GCGTAGTGAGAGGCAACTTGAAGGAGAGAGGTAGAGGTGTCAGGGGGCTCGGCAAGCCCCGGGGGTTATAGTCGCACATAGACGCATACAGCATGTCAGAGGCGCAGTAGCAGTTATGTAACAACCAGGTTCTCCTTCTCTACTAGAGAGCAGTACCGTTGTCGGCCTGTCCAGTGTGCTCGACCCTTCATGATAAAGCTTCATATATGTGTATACAAATATTATTGTGTGGCATAAGTACCGCATGCATGTGTGCTTGTCGCGATCAATACCAGTACTACTTATCAAATCACTCAGGAGTTCCCTTTTTAGGTTTATTACGAACTCGGCCCGCTTCTTTCAGCAACACCAACACAACTCAAGAAACCGTGATAAGGATTATTTAAGGATGCCACCTCGTCGTAGGCCGAACGCGTTTGAGGTAACATTTCCAGATGAAGTGCAAGATGAATCCGGCAGTGGTACAGATGGGGGGAATAATCGCCGCCGTCAGCGCGATAACGCGGAACACCATCATGACTCGGTGCGTATCATTGAGATCGCGAGAGCGTATGTTTGATAGTAACCGTCCTCTTCCTTTCACAGCGCGCAAAACGTCGGAAAACAAATGAGCGTCCTCGAGCACGTGTGTTGGCATGCTGTTCCGCCGAAATCTGATCAACTTACAATGCACTGTCCCAGCGAGATATTATCAACCGGAAAAAGACGAACTACTGGAGACTGAAGACCTTATAGTTATTGGCGAAGATCCAGGCGCGCTGAACGATGGGCAGAAACCTACGCGGATCCTACATAACTTTTCGTTTTTCGACCCTACTCGTGACCTGGTTATGGTCTCCCTTTCTTACCTCGATGAGCAGCGCACGAACAATGATCATATGCTTGAGGGTGCAGGTGAGGTTACCTCAGTGCCAGAGAACGACGAAGATGAGGGCCAAGAAGACGACCCTGAAGATTACAAACCCCAGTTCATTCGCATCAAAAATATCCGAGGATATTTTATCGACTACACTGAAGATGAAGAGTAGGTGATGTTCTTTTTTGGATTTACTCAATAATCTACGGCTATTGTGTACAGCCCAATGTACATTGAATCCGACCACGCTCGGTATCGTCTGGGTGTTCCATCGAAGGATTACCGACGCGAGTTCAAAGCATTTTATCTACCTCACCGTGTCGTTCAAGCGATTGTATCGTCCGCCGTACGGGAACCGGATCTGCAATATCGTGACTTTCTGGCCAACTTTTCAGCCATAGAGATTGACAATAGTCGACTTGACGAGCAATATCTTTGGGACAGTGTGAGATTTTTTCGATTATTATCAAATTTCACTGCAACGTATCGTAGGTTGCTGAACTAAGATATGCGCTCGAGGGTCTAGAAAATTCTCAACAACTGCGTGCCACGAATATCATCCGACACCTTTTGACAGAACCTGCGCCCCCGATATTGAGATCCGTCGAACCACGCCCTCGGCTACAAGTTCCGCCAGTAGCAGTAATTACTAGCAAAGGAAGCAAAGATCTTGCCGTCCTTCGTCCAGAAAATCAGAACGCAACCCATGTAACGCCACGAATTGCAAAGTTAGCGACCGGGTGGTTTAAAGAACAGCTAGTGGTTGTCGGTCCACAACCTCGTGTTGAACCCGGAATTCCGTATGGTGACCTTCGGAAGAGGGTCAAGGAATTTGTGCGGCGAGTATCTATACGGAGGGAAATTCGATTCCGTTCCGTGGAACAACGCCTTCGTCCACGTTCACGCTGGCTCAAGTACATCACAATAGATGGCAATGATTATGCAGTATGGTATTGTTAATTCCTATCGTGCCTAGCTTCACGTTACTTGTAGATTGGAGATACCATCGTTGTTGCCATTGGGAATGAAGACAAGAGGAGGCCTCCCGAATTGCCGGACCCAGAAGACATACCTGAATATGCAACCCTGGCAGACTACTTTTGGTATGCTATTCGTGCTGATACGTTTCACTGACCAACTCCCTTTCTTCAGGTTTGGAAAAATTATATACATCAACGAGGAGTTTGAAAATGTTCATGTCGAATGGTTCGAGCATAGTACGAAAACGGCTATGGAGCAGCTTGGACACCCCCAAGAATTATTTTTGACCAACATATGCAACAGTGTCGACTTCGACCTTATCGTTCAAAAAGTTTCGGTTCAGTTCGTCGATCCTTCAAAAGAAATGCCTGTCGTTGGGCCTTATAACTTTTTCTACAAGTCTTACATCTTCCGCAACTTTCGAGAACCTCGCTGATATTTCTGCCTGCAGGTTCATTTATAATAGCCTTGATGGTTCATTCACTGAAATACCACAAGAAAGACTGTATCGCGGACAGGACGAGCTCCCGTACGATTACTGCCCCGTGTGCTCAATGGATGAGGAGGGGGAGGATGCACGCGTCCCCCACCGTGACAAGATTCACCGTGGCGTTTCATGGAAGGGCGCTATGTATCATCCTCGTGACATTGTTATGATCAAGGCTGAGGAAGGACTGTGTCATATTGGTCAAATTACCCGCATACACATTCAGCAGTCGGAAGACGATGGTTGGGTTCGAGTAAGGATGTTTGGAAGAATTAACAAGTTGGGCCTCCGACCCTCGGAAGAGCTCAAGGATGAGGTGAGGGTACACAACCCATGTACAATCTTCGCTTTGACCCAGGTCCCCAGCGCCATCTCTTTATCACGCAAGATAAAATGAACTTCCCGATTTCCAGTATTATTGGAAAATGTCATGTCTACGTGCGAGCGGCTGTGCCGGAGCTCAAAGAATGGCTCGAAATGTCCCCCTATCACTTCTATGCTTGCTACTCCTTCCCGAGCCTCGATGTGACATCCTGGGATCACAAACACACACTTCTGCCTAAGGATCTCCTGGTGTGCAGACACTGTACTGCAGAGAACCTGGCTGAATGGAAGCAAAACCAAGAATTTTTGGAGAAGCACAAACCCCTTCGTGCTTTGGACCCGTTTGCCGGAGCTGGAGCTTTCGGGATGGGGTTGGAGGAATCCGGCTGCATCGAAGTTACCCATGCAGTCGAAATTTCTCCGAGTGCCGCAAAGACCTTGAAGTATGCATTTTGCTCCTCATTTCAGCGATACTAACAGGGACTTGACAGAGCCAACTCTCCTAAAACGGTGGTGTATAATCAATGCAGCAACCTAGTGCTCGCAGCAGCGATTAGATCATATACCAATCTCGAGGTTGAGCCATTGGAGAAAATAGAATCGGATATCACAGAGGACCCCTACATCCCCGCCCCGCTAAAACCTGAGGATATCGATTGTATCATTGCTGGGTTTCCCTGGTCAGTGATGGCGTACTTTCGTACTCTTTTCGATCATACTTAAATTGCACCTTAGCCAGCCCCATTCGCGTCTGAACATGTTCGTCAAAGCAAATGACCGCAAGAGCAACCTAATCCTCAACGTCTTATCGTGGGTTGACTTTATACAGCCAAAATACTGCTTCTTTGAGAACGTGCGCGGGTTCCTGTCGTTCGGTCTAAAGGTACGACAAGACGGGCCGTATAGGGTCAAAGGGGGTACCCCCATGGGCGGATTGAAATTCTTGATCCGGGCAATGACTGACATGAAGTAAGTGTCGCTCAAGCATCAAGTATCTATCCAACGTCATACTTCTCAGCTACCAAGTGCGCTATGGTATCCTACAAGCTGGTCACTACGGCACTCCTCAAACTCGTGTGCGGTTTTTCATGATCGCGGCAAAGTACGGTCATCCCCTTCCTCAGCTCCCTCAACCTACGCACGCCTTCCCTCCAGTAGACGCGCTGGGAATTGATTTTCCAATTGGACACCATATCAAACCTATTTGGACAGAGACTGGCTACGCGCCTCACCAGTTTGTCACTATTGACGATGCCATCAGTGACCTTCCTCGATTCGATTGGTACAGTTGCATTACCCTGAAATGGGCTACGTTCACTTGTTATTGGTTACAGGGCAAACCCAAGACCACCCAGGGATCCAGCCAGACGACGAGAAGAACGGGAGCGCGCTCAGACGATCCCCCTTAAGAAATGCAAGAAAGACCGCCCCTGGTGCGGATACTCTGGAGAGGATGTAGTGTACGAGCATGAACCAACAACGGCGTTCCAAAAGTGGTGTCGTGAAGAACCTTCAAAAGATCTGCAACAATATACGCGGACCTACGAGGCCATCAAAGTCGAGAGGTAAGTGACGTCCTCGCATAATAGATGTTTTTAACCTGCGTAGAGTTGTAAGTATCCCGATGAGGGCGGGTGCAGACTATAGGGGTACGTGTCTTTTTTGCAGGACTTTACAGCGTTGACGATAATGTCAGAACTTGGGCCCCATCTCTGGGAGTGGCACTTCGCAAATCCATCCTCAGCCGCTGCACACAGCGGTTTCAAAGCAGGTACTCTACTCTTGATAAAGAGTTATGCGCAACGTTTAACTTATGGTGTATAGGTCTTTATGGACGAGTTAACAAGAACAGTTATTTTCAAGCTACTGTCACCAACGTTGACCCAAGTGCAAAGCAATCCCGTGTGCTCAACCCTTATGTGCGTCATTGCTTCCACTACAGTGCACTTAACCAAATGAATACGATTCGTACAGTGCAAACGCATTGTCACGGTGCGCGAACTCGCTCGGTCACAAGGCTTTCCCGACAAGTTTGTGTTCCATGCGGAAAATGATCGTGTCATGACGGTGTGTGCTAAAATAACCTCCCCTCCCACTGCACACTGATCAAATAACATAGATGCACAGGCAGATTGGTAATGCCGTGCCATGGCCGGTTGCAATGGCAATCGGCCGCGAGTTAAGGAAAGTGCTGGTGAAGAAGTGGTCGGAAGAGCGTGAGGACGCCATAGTGGTCGATTGAGCTCGTGTAACGCTGGAAATATAACAAAGTATTATTAGCGAGTAAATGTAAGATGTCCAGACTCCATACCGCAGAATCCCAACTGTATAGCATTTGTCTTGGTGATTTAATTAGCCATTGGTAGCACGATGCTCGTCAGTGACGAGCTCATATCCTACCCACACAACTTCGGAACAACTCTCACAACCGACAAGGTGTCTTCCTGCATCCATATCTTCTTCGATGATCCTGTATGTCCCACCACATCTACAAGCATGTGTCCATACACCCTCTTCTGCCTCCTCGAAATCCTCTAGTGAGATGACCTGCGCAGGACGCGGTGCCAGTGGAGGTCTTTACTCGAGCATTTCGAAGAATATTATCGTAGGCTACGCGGGAGGACACGTTTGACAAGGTGGTATATGCTTCTTTGAGGAGTGCGATGTCGACATCTACGGGTGGTATAGCGGATGAGAACGATCGTTTGTCTGGATGGGAAGCAAGAAGGGCCTTATGGTACGCTGATTTTATTGTGCTCGGCTGGGGCATCGTATGCTATGCCGAGGAGCTGGTAGAAGTCGCCGTTGGGAGGGGTATCCAGCTTGCTTGAAGGTGATGGTCAAGTTGCTGTATTTATTTAACCTGATCGATTTGGTTATTAGTGCTACGCAAAGGTGATTACCACACCCTTCAAATTCGTAAGGACTAAGCTCTAAGGGTATCGATCTACGTGCGCAAGTCGAGCAAATGGGACATGGTTAATGAGAGTAGGGTAAAATGACGTATTGGTAGATCAAGATGGAATGAAACTAAGTAGAAAAATGGGTAATGGCAGCATGAAATGTAACTAACAATCCGGCATTATTCCGAGTCCATCGTCTGTGTACACATCGACATTAAGCAGATTCCCCGTGAAATATACAAGCTGTAAGCAGACGATGCAAGTCTACATGATTATGCAGTCTTTGTTGGCGGCTGCATTCTTGGCATCGGATTCTCGCATGGCTCCGCCTTGTTGTCCGATGGGCGGGCCCTTGAGCCGTTGTTGGGCACGCTTATCACCCAGTTCTGCGGCTTTCTTGAAATACGTCATCGCCCTGCACATATACATCATTATTAAATTCGGGACTGAGACAAAATCACTCACTCTGAGACGTCTGGCGGGGTACCAATCCCCACTTCCAAGAAGTACCCGACTGCGTACATCGCCTTTGCAAGCCCAGCATCTGCTGCTTTGCGTGCCCAGAGATATGCTTCTGTGTCGGATTGGGGTAGCACACCGGGTGAGCCGACTAAGTACCAGGCTGTGAGCGCGAAACATGCATCACGATGATTCTGTTGCGCTGCGATGTTCTGTGCAGATACAATTAAATTTGGCGTGCTAATCAGCGGGGGTACTCACATAATAATGGATTGACAAGGCTGGATCCTGGGGACAACCCAATTTCCCATACTCATAACATTCCCCTAACCGGTAAGCACTGGGTGCATACCCAAGTTCCGCCGCTTGTGCGAGTAGTTCCACGGTATATTCCACGTCAACAAACACGACGTTGTCTATCCCCCGTTCGTGCAACAAGGCAAGCTCATGCAGGGCGTGCGGGAACTCGGCTGTTGCGTGCTCCGCAGAGCGTTTCAGCCATTTGACACCCTCGCGTGGCCGTTTTGAGAGTCCGAGCTCGCCATTAAGTTCAGCAATGCCAAGACGGTACATAGCACCAGGATGAAGCGCTGCTCCGGCTTTGCGGAAGAATTGGAGAGCCTTGGCAGATTCGCGCCTGCAACCCCATCCATTCTCGCAGCACGTTCCTGCACGATATGCGGCATCTGGATGCCCATGCTTTGCTGCGAGCACAAATAGTGGGTACGCCCGGTCGAAGTCCTGCCTGTTCTTGTAAGTCCCTAGACCATTGGCGTAGCAGTCTGCAAGGAAATATTGCGATGCTGGGTGTCCCCGGTCTGCTTGGCGTTTGAGGAGACCTGTAGCTTCATGCACGAGATTGTCCCGCTTTTCGATTGACTTTTCAATTTCCATAACATTTCCGGGGGTGGGAGCCGGGATGGGAAAAGATTTCGAGGCATCAATCATGAATACTGCGAACTCGAATTGGATGTCCGGATCCTGTGTTTTCTTTGCATTCGCACGATATAGCTCGAGGGTACGCTCGTAAGAAAGTAGCGAGGCTTGGTTGCCCGGGCGGAGGTGAGAGTGATCTAGAAGGGGACCCTGGGACAATGGTAATTGAGAATGAGACTGTTGAGTTGGGAAGGATGTGCTGCCATTCTGTTGGGCGCCATAAAACTCATCCGCAGCACCAGGCGATTGACCTGCGAGTCCCAAGGGTTGTTCATCGTCATCATAGTCGGGATCTACTGGCTGTTGTGGGGACTGGTAATGGTTCGGGGGTACCTTGAGTACGGGACTGGCGACGACGGCGTGGTGGCTCTGGGAGATAATCTGGTTGGCCTGCCGCATCATCCGCAGCATAGAACGAGTTTGGCCGTGACTGAGCGTGGGCGTACATTACTTAGTACGATGTGAAGAGTTGAGCTGATAATTGGATCAAGCTATTTGATTGTCAGAAATGATGTTGGGCTGGACCAGCGAAGCCTTGAGGATAAATTTGAACCCACTATTACCTGGTGAAAAGAAGTTATGTGGTCGTTGCAAGGGTTGTACTAGTAACACGGTGGTTAATTATGGTACAAGATATAGACACGGATTCACCTACGGAAGTGGCTGACCGTGTTCGACCAATAACCCGCACACAGTTGTCGCTGCAGTCGATGATGAGGAAACTTGACTAGATCGTTCACAATGTGGTCTCTGACGTCGACGGAGTCGATCGCCAGTAAGGAAGGAATGGGCTCAAGGCAGCTGCAAGGTTGCAGCGGATAAAGAGGAGTGATTGATGAAGTAAATTATGTATTACCGGTGTGAGCCGGTTCACATGATGTCGCATGCGGTGTCAGGTCTGTTCACAATCAACTACGGTTGCCCTTAACGTCTACTTAGGACAACCAGCACAAACTTTTATTGAGATTTTTTCTATATCATGCAGTCTTTGCGCACACGTAGGCCCTCTGACACGCGCACTGTCAAACGTCAGGCCTCTAAACTCGAGAAGAAGCCTATCAATAAGAATGTTCGCAAGTCCACCGTCGATGACAAGATAAAGAAGCGTATGTCATTGCGCTATGCAGAGATATCTGCGCCCACCGAAGCTTCTGTCCCGGACGTGCCAAGCGTTCCAATTGGGCTGCGGCCAGGTGCAGTGAGGGACCCAGATGAGCTTGTCTTGGAACGTGCCAGTATCAGAGAGGACCCGAAGGCCATAGATCAGAGGTTGCTGGACAAGGACGATTTTGATCCCGACACCTGTAGGTACTGTGCATTTTTAGTCTGGATGTTCTTACGCGTTCGACATGCTATACAGACTTGAAGGCCAAACTGGCTAACTCAACCGAGGCGGAGCTCAGGTCTCTCCAGTCTTCACTCAGATCGTCCAAGGATGATACCGCTGTTGAAACTACAGCGGAATGTATTTAAAAAGTATCTCGTAATGTTTCGCCCCGTCGACTTCGCTAACCTTACTACAGCTATGCCGAGTTCGTACATATTTCCAAAGAAATTTCTGTCCTCGAGAACGAAGTGCTCGAGCTCAAAGAAAGCCTTTCTGAATGGAAGTCTATGCCGAGCCTTTTGCACATTGATGAGTCCGCCTCTGCTTCAGAGCGGCGGCGCAACGTTCGTTCATCCATTGCGGACCTTCGCGTGCTCTATGCGAATCAGATGCAGACACTGCATACCCAAATCGAGGGCTCCGCGAAATTTGCTCCAACAACGCCAGGCAGACATGTAATTTACGAAATAGACGGGATATATGCTCTCAATGCAGCAACCTACAGGGTCAGTAACACTGTCAAGTTCGTCGTGCTAGATGATTCTGTGCTCGTCGCGAAGAGGAGGAGGAGAAACAACGGAGAAGGGGGACGGCTGGTGGCAGAGAGATGTTGGCCTTTGAATGAGATGTTGGTGTTGGATACGAAGGATACAGCAAGTAAGTGTGGTTTGGATTGTACAGTGTATACGATTATCTGATCAACCTGACTAGCTATGACGAATGTCTTTAAAGTTCGCCATCAAAAGGAGACATATGTTTACAGAACGGAGGCCCCTTTTGATAAGAAGACTCTTCTTGGACAGTTCCGTCAGGTTGCCGAAGAACTTGCGATCCGCAAACGCAGGGAGCGTGAAGGCGAGCACGAGCGACGCAAGAGCATGTGGACCAGTGGAGACGTCAGCCTCTATGCCCTGCTCAATTCATATTCGTTCGTCTGACATGTTATTATCCAGCAACGCGTTTCCATGACATTGCATCCCGATAAGATGCCGCCCCTTCCTGATTGGATGGCTGAGCTTGCCCGAAACGCGGGCGTTGACGGGGACACCAGCGCACGGGACAAATCCGAGAGCGATGCACGTTTCATCAGTGATTTTTCGGACGACCTCACAGTCGCTATCGCTCTGCGATCCTGGGAACGGGCCGTTGAATTAGTGGAAGAAGGTCGAGCTAAAGTTTCTTCCATACCGTCATTGAGCGCCAAGCTCACTCCTCTCACGGCGAGCCTCACCTCAGCACTACTCGATGCACTCAGTGCGCCCGGGAACCGCAAGAATACTGCAGTAAGCCTCATTGGTCATTTATTAAAGCTTGGACAAGGTCCAGCTGCGAGGTCAACATTCTTAAATGCGCGAGCGGGGGCGGTTGACCGGTATGTCAGGGCCATCAGATTCGAAGGCCATGTCGGGATGTATGTGCACGATTTGGCTCTAGTCGTGTTTACCGGGATCAAGCATACAGCGGATTGGTTCCTCGCGGGCTTTGTAGAGCATGATATGACTAGCAGTCAGTGTTTCTTCGCATTTTCCATGCGATCCTCTTTACTGATTGGTACCAAGCTTTAATTGACTGGGCTAAAAAACAAATTGAGATGTATGCTGAGAGGTTCAGGAAGCAGGTTTATAGTTCCGATGCCGAACAGCAGACTGTCAAAGAAGCACTCAAAATCACACACAGTCAGAGTCGCAAGGTTCGTCCATCATCTTTCCTTCTCCCCGTTTGTGTAAACCACCCATCTACATACTATTCAGCTTTTACAAGAATTTGGGCTTGACTTCCGCTATCTCCTTGACGAGCTTCTGGTTCAGGACCCCCAGACCAACGACACCTGCGTTGTTTCTGCTACCTTCCATGCCCCTTCCCTAGGGCCCTCCATCTCGGGCTCGCACACACCACAATCCACATCATCCTTCGCGTCTTCCTCGACGCCTCCCATACCTTCAATTCCATCTGCCCCTGACTCGCCCGCTCGCCCTACTACACGCTCTTCAATATCTCTGCGCCCAGTCGTGCAGATCCATGACTCCGATCGTTCGTCGAAATCTACGCAGGATAGCCCAGCTCCTCCACCACGCTCGTCAGATCGTCCTGGGAGCACTAACAGACCACAAGTCGCCATTCCACAAAGGGAAGGGATGTTTTGACCGGATATCCTATATCACTGGTTTTTGTTCAACTTCATGGACCGTTCTCAAGGATTTGTGGTGTGCATTCTACCGCCTGAGATGACAAGTACCAAGGTATGCAAGTTCACCCTCCAGCGCTCTGCCACGGGTTAGTACCGGGAATGGATGTGACCCGAACTCGAAGTCAGATATGTAGACTCTAGAGCAGGAGACAAACGGTATCCGAGGGAGGAAGGCATAGGCGATCACTAGATTGACATTCGAAATATTTTGATAGTGTGTGCTCATTCAGACTTACCCCTGTGTTCCCTATTCATTATGAGCATTTACTATCCAGACTCCAGAGCCTTTTAACCTCTGTGGCGCGCCCTCCATACTGCTGCATAGCTGGCCTCCGCTGAAAGGACTTCATCACGTTGAGTGAATTGTGGGTCAGCGACCTGTAGAAATAGTTTACCTCGTTTTGTAGTGCCGCTATGTAATTTTGGTTGAGGCTTGTGCCTATTAATGATTTACGCATATGGGTCTCAATTTTAATCTTGAACAAGCGCTCTCAAGATTGTACAGCGGAAATGAATCGATGTTTCTGATATTAATGTTGATGCTTGTCAGATTCGGCTTTGCAACGGACTGGGAGATGACTTGTCGCAGATCATGTTACCTAACCTGTTCGCTCGTTCCTAGGTAGATCTTCCAGCGCGTACAAAGAGTGTTGTATTATAACCAACAAATTATCAAATCACCATGATGATGATAACGATAATGATAACGATAATAACGATCGTAGTAGTTTGAATGAAGAGTAGTGTGCTATGCCATAGAGAATAAAAAGAATGTGTGTAGAAAGACTATGTGTAAATGAACGACAATAGATGATAAAACAAAGAAAGTAGTCAGTAGCAGGAGTGAAATATAGCTACATCTCATCCACGTCCTTTATCTCATTAGCCTCCCAAAAATCAGGGTCGTCGTCGTCGTCGTCGTCATCATCGTCATCGCCGTCGTCTTCGGCGGGCACTGCTACCGTATTATTCTCTGGTGATTGAGAGAGGCAAAGTGCGGGGTTCACAAAACTGGGCGTTCCGTACCACTGCGTAACACAAGCGGCTGGGGGTGCGAACTGCACAATCGACGTGGCGGGCATGGGGTACGGGTAAGAATACGTGAACGCCGTGGTAGGTGCTGTCACAAGTGCGGCAGAAGCGGACCTCATGGATTTTTTGCAAGCGGCCGAGTATGATTGCCCAGCGCCATCAGCTGCTAGCTTTCCACAACTCTCGTCCCAATGCCTCTTGCATACATCACGTCGGGAATAACTAATCACAACAGTATCAATTATAAGATGCCCTTATTTTGAGAGTTTGGATGCGCACTATTTAGAACAACCAGGGCATTTAAATTTCCTTTGTTTTAAGCCTAGGTGCTTGTTTGTCCTGAGGTGCTTAAGATAGCTTTCGGGATAGAGTACCATGCCGTCTTTAGAACACACGAATGTCCCGTTGGGTTGACCATCTTGATCTAACAAGGGTTTCTGTCCCAAGGTTTGAGAATGCGACCCCACAAGATTAAAATAAAACTCACAAATAATGGGTCGTTCTTCATCCCGTCAGGGCATATTTTGGTTCGCTTGACGTCGCAGTCTTGGAGGTCTTCTGCAACGCGCTTTTTACCGACCGAAAAACTTGGTGCTTGAGGGAGAGATGAGGAAGCAGAGCCCGTTGCAAGCCTAGGCCCGTGATGTTGGTGGGGGTATCCTTGGTATGGTATAGGTAGAGCGTAAGTGAGTGGTGGGTATGGACAAACATAAGTGGCGTGGGAGACATGGTCTACTGCAGAGGGGTAATAACCTTTCTGTCCCGCTGGGAACGCGTGATGCGCAACTCCAGCACCCACACCAGGCGAAGGTGCGATGGGCACGTGTGGGGGAGCGGCACCATGTGTCCCATTCGGTGGCACATCGTATGGGTAGTAGGGGTGTGCGGGGGCATAGCCTGGATGAGGAATATATATGGGCTGGGGCCAGGGAAATTGAGCCATATACATGCCAGTGTTCGGTGTGGATTGTGCTGCATTGGAAGAATCAGAACCGTGCGATGAGGAGGTATGGGGGGTAGATTGGGTCATCTGAAGGAAGAAGTAGATATCGTTAGAATACGTAGGTGTTAAAGTTGGGGATACACGTACCTGGGCCAGCAGATAATTGATTGAAATGTTAAAGGTGTGTGTACGCGTTCGCAATGATAGTAAGCGCAGTGAGTAAGGGATAGAGGATGAAGGCCACCGAAACAATATTTATATGCTCGTCCGGTGGGTGTTCTCGAGTTGTGTTTCCACCGCAGAGACCTTCCTTTCGGGGAACATTTCCTGTGGACTACCATTATTCATCAAATAGGACAGTGGTCATTTTTCTCGATGCGTTTAGCTTTGCATCCACACTTGAGTAGTTCATTCTTGTGGTAAGCCACAATGAAAATACGATAAATGCGCTGTGGATGTTTGTGCCCTCTTGACGCTAACAATCCGATCAGAGTAGGTTTCTGCCTCCGCGAGGGGTTGAATGATCATAGGTCCAAGGTTCACTCGCATGAGTGATGAGATCCATCAGATCGTGATCGATATCGGCGCTTTGGGGGACACAGTCTACGCGGTGAACTGGTCAACAATAGTAACAAAGAACAAACCTACGTGAGGTGTAGTGAACGTTAGAAGCCCAGCCAAAGCAAGTAAGAGATCCAGGTTCTCAAGCGCCAAACGACATGGATAAGAATATTCTTGCTGCACTTCCTTGGGAGTACTCACTTTTATTTTCGTTTTCTGGTTAACGCATCGTAACATCCTGTCATAGATTCTGGCGGAACGCGACTCCTCTGACCGTAATTTTACTTTCCTGTTTTCAAAACTACACAAGTTGAAGGAAAATGCAATCTAGCAACATTGGTCGATTGACGCAAAGGTATGTTATTGTCTTGTGACTCTTCATAACCGCGTATACAGGCACTAAAAAGCGATCAGTTGTAGGCTCTCAGTAGGGCGGCAAAGACAATTGCAAGGAATAACTGTCTGGCCCGGAAGGACAGGTGATACGATGAACGGAGAGGGAGCGAAAAATTCACTTGCCGGTGTTATGAACTCCAGGAGCATCGAAGAACTCCTTCATTATTGAAAAGTCGTCTCGGGATTGCTTCGCATCGCTACAGCTCGTAAACACAGCACAGAAGCGACATCCGCATGTCCCGGGGAGGCCTGAGTCCAGAAGTCTGAATCGAATGGAGCGACAGCATGCGCAGGAAATAACTGGCTATAAAGATGAAACTGCGTTATTGGTGGGCAGAAAGTGATACCTGAGGACACGGGGGTATTTTTGATATCTGCAATGTACACCGAGCGCATTCAAGTTGGTATAGGCTTCCGAAGTGCGGCCAAATGTCGACAGGTGATATTTCCAGTCACGATCATTCGCGGATCAAAGGCTTTCACTGATATTTTAACCATGGGTGAAGATAGGTTATCATTTGGTTGTCATATATCCTTCCTATCCTCTCCTGTCAGTGCACCTTACAGCTTGTGGTGCGTATCAAAAATCCCGTGTCGTTTTGGTGAGGTCTCACTGAGGCTATACTCGCATGAACTTGGCAATGGTTTCAGGTATGACGAGAGACGTATAGATACCCATTCGAATGAATTTTAGAGGGTCGTCGGTGTGGGTGCAGCAAAATTTGGTGTCCATGCATGGACAGGAAGAAAAATTGCTTTGTTGGGTTTGTTGATCTCGGAATATGAGCATCCGAATCCCGATAGGCGCTTGTTCAGTGTTTTCACCTCACGTTTGCACACTACTACTTGGCCTATTCAAAACTGTTCAAGAATGCGACCTAACGCGAAGCTGGTTGAATCTAGCGAGCTTTCAAATATGACCAGACCAGCTCTTCGTCATTTCAGAGCAAAATCGTGACCTTCAATTTGAAATTCATTTACGACGCAGGTGGACGCCGCTCCAAGGTCATCAAAAGATAAGAATGTGTGCTGTGGATCGAATGGGGAGATATGTAAAAAGAATGCATCATGGTGTACAACGCACAGCCATCTGGAAGATATCAATATAGAGGTGGGACGCGCGCCCATATGCCCATCATCACTCTCCATCGATGATCCTTGGTAAGCTCAAAGTCAGTGATTTTATGACGGGGATTGTGAGAACATTTCACGAGGACCTTCGATGGATCACTGGCATCGATATTTCCGTGGACAACATGCTACTAGCGGGTGCGTCGACCGATAGGACAGTGCGGATATGGAACTTGGACGCAGGAAAACTTGTGGCTGGTCCATTCAAATGTAGTGATAATGCTTATCCTGGCGACCTAGCACTTCGATTCTCGAAAGACTCGGAAGCTGGCGGTATCCAAGCACGAAAATTGGATATACAAAAATCTACTCCCGTTTCGGGGTCAATTGTTCCGGTCTTCTGGACAGCAAAAGACAAATTCATCGTAGCCCAATTCAGATTCACTATAGATGACTACCCAATGGCGATCTATGAGTTTGACGCGTCCACGCTCAAGACTATCGGAGCTCCTTTCAAAGGGCACACCATCAAGCTATGGACCTTCCAATCCTGCCAGTTCCTTGCCTCATTCGACGTCCAAAATACTCCATTCACCCTCGTCCTCTCGCCCGATTCACGCCAATTGGCTTACACGCTTATGGATGACACCAAGATCTACATATGGAACATCCCAGCCAACATCCTCGCTAGCATTGGGCTTGCAGAAGAACTGCAACCTAGTGTATGTATTCCCCACATAGATCCATCATTGATATGCTAACATATCTTACAGACCAGTAAATGTGAACGTTCGCGCCACGCTGGTCTACCCAAACGTACGTGGTCATACTCTCTCATTTATCTACTACACACTGTTCTTCATCACAGTCCGATGCAACACGTCTCTTTGACTACAAGGGACCCGCATGCTTTCTACGCAAACTCCTTCCCTCCCATACGGACGCAGTCCGTCCTACTCACACTGACGAGCCTCGTGATCCTGTTTCTTATCTTCCCACTCGACTCGACGGTTCTCTTGCAGTTCCCTGCTACATCCCCCCTACCTCATCCATCTATAAAACCAGACAAGAACGTGAGTGCTAACTTTCATTATTACATATTTGTCTTACATTCTTCTAGTCTTGACCCACACCGGCACCACCCACCATCCAATCTTTTGCCATCAATACTTCCCCAACCCTCAAATCCAGCTTACATTGACTATCGACATGGTGGCCCTCTGACAGATCATGCATCGCCGGCTATCATGATGTTCCTCTCGTGCCAGGTCAACTGGTATGTGCATCTCATTTTTCTCGTCGTAACCCAAATCTCATGCATCAAGGTATAGCGGTATGCTACAGCGGGTGTTCCTGGCGATGATGATGACCTGATACGTGACGAAGACTATGTTTCTCTTCCTTCTTCCCCCAATCCCGGCTCACGCCAGCTACCTGCATCAGGGATTGTCAATGCCGGACAGCATGGAAGCGACCGGTGTTGTTTCTGCTTCTAACTGATTTCAAACTTGTTCCCCGGTATCTCGTAACTGGAATTGTCGCTCGTTGTATGCGTTGTCCTAGCGTGAGTTTGTATGTTTACAACATTTAAGCACGCATTTCCGGTGGCTCGGTGTCAATTGTGTCTACTTCACATCCTGTGCTCAGTAAGTTAGCACTTCAAGCACTTATTCCTCAAGCACTGATACTAGTTAAAGGTTTTGTACTCAACGCTTCCACAACTGACTGGTAACACAAGCATCGCCCTTGAAAGTTTTATTCAGCAAGAATTGCTCTTTACAGCGCGTATGATTTCCTGTTCACAGCTTCATTCATTCAGACGACTGCAATGAATTCTACTAACAACTGGTGCTTCTCCTGCGATCAGACTGTCCTGCGCGGATGCTCTGTCTTTAACTACAGTAACGACCCCTTTTTGTATGACCTCGGGTATCTTTTGATTTCCTTGATCAATGTAAAATCATCTAATAATCTACCGTTCTCCGGAACTTGATCAAGCAAGGGCGTTTAGACTTCAAGCAACTATGCCATACATCGAGCAATGATGTCGCTTGGAAAGCACTGTAATTTCCCTCGTCCTGCTCCTTGACCATTTCGGCGACAAATAACTCTCCCTTGAAAGAATGTCTAAAGTTCTCTTTGTATTCATACAGCGTCAATCACATGTAAGGGTATCAGCAGAAGTCTTACGAAGTTCTGTATCCAGGTCCTCTTTGTCGCCGCCGTCTCAATGGCATCGACATCAAGTATCAATGGCTCGGGCGATGATGACGGTGATGAGCGCGTCTTTTTCGAAAGCAAGGCAGTTTTGACTATCTTCATAGAATGGGTAAGCACATCTACGCTATTCTTAACTGCCTGGCTGATAGACTAGGTTCTCTATAGTATGGAGTAATGAAATTTTGACCCTCAGACAAGCTGAGGGCTCTACATCCGTCCAACAACCGCAAACCACCAGGGGTAAGCACGGTGTACGTGCGGGTCTCCATACTCCATACTCGTACCCGCCACACCCGTAAGTGATACACCGCGGTTTTACCTGTACCCGTGCTCTACTCTATTCGTGCTCTACTCTATTCGGCTCTCACCTTCATACTGTCACCCACCGCACTCGTCCGCACTCGTGCTCCTCCTCTGCCTTCAGCCTTCCCAGATCCAGAAAACCGCGCTTATATGCGCCAGCCATCGTCGCCCGTCGATGGCCTTCGTTTTTGACGCGTTGTACAGTTCGCTCGTCTTCGATGCAACACTGAACACAGTGAACAGTCGTCCTCCCATTCCTCCCTGCACAGCACGCGCCTGTTCCCTTTCGGGAAGGCTGATGTAATCCTGTGCTCAGACGGTGTATCAAGCGTGAGGGTGTACTAATAGTTGTACCTCTCCTTCTGAAGAGTCAATACGATCCATAACGTCAACTTCATCCATGGTAGCTTGGAGTTCACAGGATTCCACTCCTTCTCAGCTTCTTTGGATAATTGCGAGGTGAAGCATCTCTTAAATATTGAGTCTTATTATATGAGGGAGGGGTACAGCGATGGTTGTATGGCATGTACCAGCGTTCAGACGAGTCTCGACTAAAAATATACAGCACCTTGCAGGTTGTCATTAGTTAAAAGCATCCACTGGGCCGTCGCGACATGTGTCAGTCCCATCAACTATTGCCAGGGTGTGTTTATATTGATATGCTTATAGGTTGCATATTCTGGATTGTATATCCGATGGCCCTGGCATGGGGCTTCTGCCGCATGATAGCGACGTTCTTTCTGCGGAGTTCTGTTATCCAAGTCGCGTCATCTGCTTCATCCTTCAGCACAACCATCTGGCCAAACCATTCACCAGGGCCGCTGATCCGGCGCATCGCTTTGATTGGGTAAACTACAGGTTGATCTTGGTGGAGCCACCTGATTTCTGTTATGACCAATCGATAGTTCTGTCAATATCAACCCGGGACACTGGCAGATGATCCACGGCCTCCAACTGTAATCAAAATCACGCCATTCTTCTCGCCTACTTATTGCCAAAAAGATGTGGATATGCAAACTTGCATATCGTGTTTTCCCCCCTTCCCCTTAAGAATGGCCACTCCCAGCGATTCAACAGCGGTTGACACCATCGACACGATCAATGACTTGCCCAAAGATGTCCCCTGTCATGCCCGTGATGACCTTGAGAAGAGATTACTGAGGAAGCTTGATTTGCGTATGTCCATACTATTGATTTTATTTGCCCTGAACCTGGTGGGTACGAGGTTTTTGCGAACTCTATTCTGATACTTACTTTGCATCCTAGATTGACAGAACCAATATTAGGTGTGTTACATACCGTCGGACTTGCATTAATCTTATGACGTCTACAGCAATGCACGGTTACAAGGATTTGAGAAAGACCTGCACCTGCATGGGCAACAATACGCTACGACTTTGTCCATCCTATTTGTTGGATACATCATCATGCAATTGCCAGGGTGAGTTTCGTCGTTCATCGAGAGACAGCTGAACGTAACTTTCCTTCAGGAACATGTTCCTGCACTGGCTGGAGAGACCTTCCATCATCATTCCGTGTTGTATGTTAGTATGGGGTGCAATATCAGTATTAACAGGTATGTCGACACTGATTGTCCATGAAGATGGCTGCTAATGGTGCTTAGGGACCGCAAAGAAGTACACATCTTTGTTTTGCATTGTTCAGATCCGGTCTCTGATTGTTTGACCTAAGTTACGATGAGATCGTCGTCGCCCGCTTCTTTCTTGGCTTTGCCGAAGCTCCCTTCTTCCCCGGTATGATATTTCTTGTATCTAAATGGTACAAGCGGGACGAGGTCGCCTTGAGAATAGCTCTCGTTACTTGTGGAAGCAGTCTCAGCTCTGCATTTGGATCCCTGTTGGCATCTGCTATACTTCACGGTATGCAAGACAAACTTGGTCAAGCTGCATGGAGGCAGGCGACGATCATCTCTCTCTCACTCCCTGGAGCTGAATGATCTGCAGATGGTTATTTTACATTGAAGGCGGCGTTACCATCTTGGTCGCGATTTGTGCCATATTCATACTCCCTGATTTCCCGCACAACACCAGGTGGATGACCCCGGAGGAAAGAGCACTTGCTATCTCTCGTCTTGTAGAAGATGGCTACAGTGAGGTTGATGAACTTGGGAAGCAGACGACCATGCAAGGAGTGCGGGACGCTGTGTCTGACTGGAAGGTGTGGTGGTTTTCGGTTGCGGCCATGTTCCAGTTAGTGGGGCAGTCTTTCTTCGGTTACTTCCCGACACTGTGCGCAACACTGGGATATGACACGACTGTAACACTGCTGCTTTGCGCTCCTCCGTGGGTGTTTGCGACTATGGTCGGATTTGCTTTTGCATGGTTAGTCAATCATTTCTATCAGAAAATTGCATCTCACGGAGATCAGGTACTCTGACAAGAAACAGAAGCGTTACAAATTCTTTGTTATCTCCAATGCATTTCGGCGTCCTTGCATTCATCGTGTCCGCTATTACGATGAACAAGGTTGCGCGCTATATTTCACTGTAAGTGGTATTGCCACTCGTGAGGCGTCACTCTTGTACTCAGAAACGTACAGGTTCCTGATGGCTCAAATCCTCATTGGATACCTGATGCTCTTAGTGTGGATCAGCAACACTTTCGCCAGAGAACCCGCGAAGCGTGCCGTTGCTATTGCTTTGATGAACGCAGTGGCGCAGATAGGCTCTATTAGTTGGATCGTCAGTGACCTTGTCATCGATCTCTTGCTCTCGCTAATTATCCACGACTACATTTTTCGTATAGATACGCGTGGCCGTTGGAATGGGGCCCAACATATCGTTATTCCTATGCCATTAGCATCGCTGCACTTGGAGTTTCGACAGGCATGTTTGGCGCTATGTATTTGTATTTGAAGCGTTTGAATGAGCAGATTGAGAGAAACGAACGAGATGCGAAGAATGCCAACGAGATTCGGGAGATCAGTTTTAAATATCTGGTGTAGTTGAAGATTGGAACATTGATCGTTTCTGGCAGCCATTTGTATCCATATAGCGTCGATCACATGAAGTAAGCGCAAACCGATGTCATCATTTCGTGAAATTGGTAGCCAACGACCATCTATTTTACAAAGTACAAAAATTGCTTAGATATATTGGACATTCTGCTAGTTCATCTCCGTCGAGAACTGAATCGAAGGAATAAGGGCAGCATATTCTTCTCGCTGTTGAGATGTCACCCGCACCGCACTGTCGAGAACCAGCCTCTCCAGGGGACATTTTGACCGCGTCAAAAATTCCAGGAAATCTTCATGTGGCCACGGTCCCCTATATTTAACTTGGAGCACGCGAAGGTTGGGGAAAGTGATACCCTTGAATAGGCCAAGATCCTCGCCTGAGTTCCGAAGCACGCTCCAGGACATGCACAAGGATTGAAGGTTGGTGTGCGTAACTGATCTGGCAGTCTGAATCGTGTGCAATACTCCGATCACCTTCAGGGAAGAGAGATTGGGACATAGTCGGAGTATGCGGGTGAATGCACATAGTCCATCTAAGTTGATCTCGATATGTGTGAGACGGCCCCATGCCGAATGAGTGAAGGAATTCAATCGCTTGCGATTAAACCACACATTCTCCATATTAATCCTGCGCAGATTAACAGGCAATTTCGAGAGGGAGCGGTTGATAGCTCGCGGAGGATCATCAAAAATGTATTTGCAGATAGTGAGTTCCTTCAGTGAGTGGAAGTCTTCCATCATGAAGGGGCCGTCGCAGCATAGAAAGCCAAGCGAGAGAGACGAGATTTGCTGAGCGTATGGCTGGAGCAGGCGTTGTAGTTCGCGCCAATCAGTGCCACACTCGAGTCTTAACGAGAGGGGACATCCTGCCGATCGCTTGAGCCAGGAGTCGTAGCCGAAAGCTCTCGTCTGCCAGTCATCGTGGCGGAAAGTTCTCTGCCAGTCTTCGTACCAGAATTCCAACTGTAGCCTGCACCATAACATGGGCAAGCCCACAGCAACCTCCCTCCATTGGCGACATATTCTTGTCAATAACATAGGAGCCTGTCCTGATGCATACGTCAAATACTCGTCGTCGGGCAGACAGTAAAGGAAGATTTCCGAAAGAATTTCGGTCGGCAAGCGCGAAATAGGCGATGAAAAACTTGTGCGCGAAGTGTGAACAATATCGGCCGTTTTCTTCGACGAGTCGCGGCTGACGATAGCCAGCACTGTTCCTGACGATTTGAAGGCCCGAGTCCTCGCCTATAATCGCATCTGACTGTTGAAGTAGATATTTATTAAATTCAGACGCAAAGATCTCCCAAACCAAGCACTTACAGGATTCCGTGGCCCACCAGTGGTAGCTGAGACCGATGGTGAATCGACGTTTGAGTCAAATGTCTGCATGTTAACGCAAGGAGGTTGAGAAGTTGGAGATGGAGATTGAAGGGGGACATAAGTCTAACGTTCCGCCAACTGTCGCGTCCCCATTTAAATCAACACATCGCAAACCACAAGTCCACAACAAACACACCTTGCTATTGTGGTTTCTCATAGCGGGCCTTTAGTTAAAAACACCCACCATCCACAACTAGAGACCTTTCATTGTTGGAAATGTGGTAGGTGTGGGCGCGATTAGAAACTGTGGACACTCAATGGCATCAGCATACTCGATTGGCACCACCAGGCGTTGTCAATCGAGCTGTGACATTTATTTTTCCCTATAGTAGTCATGTATTTTTGGTTTGATATTTAACAGGCGTGAAGGTACTCAAGAAAAATCTGGTTCAATTCGAGTCTACTTGGCACCTCTCCACACCCCTCCCGTACGTACTGAAGGGCTGATTCTCTTCTCGTCAACCGTTTCTCCCCCACTATGTTCTTAGTACTGAGGCTCCAGTTCATGCCAAACATAAGAAGTAGTTGGAATAAGATGACTTGATGGGTGTCGGGGAGTTTATAGCAGCAGGGAGTTAACGTTGACACATGGTTGCACCGTGCCATAGGGAGCTTTGAGCGCGCGTCATGTTGATTGGGGAGTAGGTTGGAGTACTAGGCGTTATGTAAAAAGGAGTAAAAAAAGACACGCTGTACAATGCACAGCTGTCTGGAAGATATAAATATATAGAGGTGGGACGCGCGCCTATATGCCCATCTTCGCTCTTCGTCTTTGCTAGCATCCTGGTAAGATAAAACCTATATGAGCATCACCCATGGATGAACTGACGGCTGGCTTAAAGAGGCATAGTGCGGCACTCCAATGAGTTAGACTTGAAAATCACTCAACATCAAGCCTAGACCTTACAGAGCACGAGAAAAACCCACCAAAAATTAACCGATATACTTGCCAAACCTGTCTAGCGAATACAGCTGTGATGACTTCCAGCTCGATGCAGCCTGGTGCAGCAGAAAAACAAATCGATTCTGACACCAGTCATGACTTTGGAGGGACATGAACCATGGACTTATTCCTTGCCGGATGGTAGTCGTCACGAGTACAAAAATATTTCGTCCATTTCCTATTTTCCTGACAGCAAGCAAATGATCAGCGGATCACACGATAAGACCATTCGGCGATGGGACCTGCGGGAGGGCAACGAGATTGAGGAGGCTCGGGAGGTCTGCGAGCATATAAATGCAGTGGGAGTATCCAGGGATGGTCAATGGGTTGTCACTGCAGCTGGCGGGGTGCTCAAAGTCTGTGAGGTTGAGACGGGGATCGCGAGAACCTTTCGTAATGGCGAATATTGGATCAGATGCAATCGATATCTCCGCGGACAGCACATTGCTAGCGACTGCGTCAGACGATGGGACAACACGGATATGGAACTTGGACACAGGCGAACTCGTGGCTGGTTCATTCAAATGTAACGATCTTTATGTGCGCACACTTCGATTCTCGGAAGACTCGAGGAAGTTGGCGGTGATGTCAGATTGTGGCTGGTGCCTACAGGTGTGGGATGTCCAAGCACAGAAATTGGATGTACAAAAAAATCTGCTGATACTTACCATGCGTTGTCAACGTCGCCGGTATTCTGGACAACAAAAAACAAATCCATCATAGCCGCATTCAGTTTTATTGCAGATGTCCGTCCCACGATGATCTATGAGTTTGACGCGTCGACGCTCAAGACTGTTGGAGCTCCTTTCAAAGGGCACACCAGTACTATCAGTGGTCTAGCACTCTCATCTGATTGTGTTCTTCTCGCCAGCTCTTCCTACGACACCATCAAGCTATGGACCTTCCAATCTCGCCAGCTCCTTGCCTCGTTCGACGTCCAAAATACTCCATTCACCCTCGTCCTCTCACCCGATTCACGCCAGCTGGCTTACACGACCTTCCATGACAGCAATATCTATATATGCGGCATTCCAGCCGACATCCTTGCTAGCATTGAGCTTGCAGAAGAACCACAGCCTAGTGTATGTATTCCCCGCATAGATCTATCATTTATATGCTAAAAATTTTACAGACCAGTAAATCCAAACGTTCATGCCGTGCTGATCTACTCAACGTACGTGGTCTCACTCTCTCATTCATCTACATCTACACCATTCTCTATTACAGTCCGATGCAACACGTCGTCCCGTGCGCTGTAAACCAGTGATAACACCTGTCATGTCTCCCATGCCTCGACTTTTGCATACAAGGGTCCCACATACTTTCCTTCACTTTCTACGAAAACTCCTTCCCTCCTCTCATACGGATGCAGTCCCTCCTATTCGCACTGATGAGCCTCGTAATCCCCTAGACGTAAGTTTCTTATACCTGTTTGCTTCCCAGTTGACTTGACGGTTCCCTTGCAGTTCCCTGCTACATCCCCACTACCTCGTCCACTCATCAAACTAGACGAGAACGTGAGTGCCGGTTCTCGTCGTTGCATATTCGACTTACATTCTTCTAGTTCTCAACCCACACCAGCACCACCCACCACTCAGTCCTCCGCCGTCAATACTCCCGCAACCCTCAAATCCAGCTTACATCGAATGTCAACCTGGCGGCCCTTTCGGACAGATCATGCATCGCTGGCTATCGTCGATGTTCCTCTCGCGCCGGGTAAACTGGTATGCGCGTTTCATTTTTTCTCCACATATTCCAAATCTTACGCCTCTATGTATAGCGGTACGCTACAGCGGGCGCTCCCGGTGATGACGATGACCTGATACGTGACGAAGACTATGTTTCTCCTCCCTCCCCCCATCCCGGCTCACGCCCAGGGACTGTGCATGCCGGACAGCATGGAAGCGGCCGGTTCTGCCTCTGCTTCTAACTGCTTTCAAACGTGTTCCCGGTATCTCGTAACCGTAACCGTTGCTCCTTCCATGCGTTGTCCTCCGTACACTTATGTTGAATTCATGGTCACTATACCCCCTAACGCGCTTGAGATATATCAACAGTCCCTGATGGTCGATCCTGTTCAAACTCTACAGTGGTCCGAATCACGAAACTGTTCTGTTTTACAGTGAACCACGTTAGTTCAAGGACCCCCTGTACTGTCCTGCATCTGAACTGGTGCCATTAGAAGGTCAGTCCATTGAAAAATGTGACAATCTGATCTTTCGGGCTTCAAGAACAGCTTTAATATTTGCGAGAGCTTGCTTGGTCTACTCCTCGATGCCGCCTTCAACGATCTGCATTGTGGAAGGTACGAGGGGGATGCGACCCGTATTCATTGCACGCTTTGTTAGCTTGCGAATAGGGCCCAATGGCTGAGGGCGCGTTGGACGTCGAAGCAGATGTGATCGTAGACATTTGTCGTTCTATTGTGACAACAGCAAGTGCAAAAGCGGGGTATTGCGAGAGATGAAGGGCGGTTGTCCTACAACAGGAAGGCAGACATGTAATTTTTAAAAAAAAAATTCAATTTTCATGTCCTATGGAGAGTGACATGTAATTTACGAGACGGACAGTATATATGCTCTCGATGCGCCTGCGTCAGTAACACTGTCAAGGTCGTCGTGTTAGACGATTATGTGCCATGGAGCAAGATGTTGGCCTTCGAATGAGATGGCACTAGTGTTGGATACGAAGGATACAGCAAGTGTATGATTTGGATTGCAATTGTAGGACATATACGATTATCTGAAGGCTATGACGAATTCAAATGTCTTCAAAGTTTGTCATCGAAAGGAGATATGTTTACAGGAGGGAGGCTCCTTCTGATACTTAGGTGTAAACAAATGTCATCATTTCATGAAATGGGTAGCTAACGACATGTGTTTAACCAAAAAAATCGCCTAGAAATATTGGTTCTTCTATTCTTCATCTACATCAAAGTCGATTTCAGGATCTGCAATGAATTCGAACGAAGGAACAAGGGTAGCATATTCTGCTCGTTGCCGTTCTGTCGTCCACACTCCGCTGCCGAAAATTAGCCTCTCCAGGGGACATTTCGACCGCGTCAAAAATTTCGCAAACGATCCATGTGGCCACCACCCCGCATTGCTGACTTCAAGTACGTGAAGGTTCGGGAGCGTGATGACGTTGAATAGGCCAATGTCCTGCTCGTCTGTGCTCCAAAGTACACTCCAAGACATGCGTAAAGATTGAAGGTTGGTGTGCGTGATTGGTTCTGGAGTCTGGATGGAGTAGAATACTCCAAACATCTTCAGGGAACAGAGATTGGGACATAGACGGAGTATGCGGGTGAATGCATCCAGTCCATCTATGCTGATCTCGATATGTGTGAGATGGGCCCATGCGGAATCAGTGAAGAAATCTAATTTCTTCAGGTTGAAGCATAGATCCAACATGTTAATCCTACGCAGATTAACCGGCAGTTTCGAGAGTGTGTGGCTAGTACCTCGCGCAAGATCATAAAGAACGTCTTGGCGTATCGTAAGCTCCTGGAGTGCGTGGAAGTCTTCCATCATAAAGGGGCCATCGCAGGATTGAAAGTCGAGCGAGAGAGTCGAGATTTGCTGAACGTGTGGCTGGAGCAGGCTTCGTAGCTCGCCCCAGTCAGTGCTACTCTTGAGCTTCAATGAGAGCGGACATCTTCCTGATCGCTTGAGCCAGAAGTCATAGCAGAAAGCTCTCTGCTGCCAGTCATCGTACCCGACTTCCAACTGCAGCCTGCACCATAATCTGGGCAAGCCCACCGCAACCTCCCTCCATCGGCGACATATTTTGGTCAACAGCACAGGAGCCTGCTTTGATTCATGCACCAAATGCTCATCTTCGGGCAGACAGTAAAGGAAGATTTCCGAAAGAATTTCGGTCGGCAAGCGGGAAATAGGTGATGAAAAGCTTCTGCGAGAAATGTTCTGAATGATATCGGCCTTCTCTTCGACGAGGTACCGCTGACGATAGCTAGCGTGATTGTTCCTGACGATTTCAAGACCCAAGTCCGCGCCTATAATCGCATCCGACTGTTGAAGTAGATATTTATTACGATATTCAGACGTAAAGATCTCCAAAACCAAGCACTTACGGGTTCCCGTGGCCTACCAGTGGTAGCTGAGACCGATGGTGAATCTACGTTTGAGGTGAATGTTTGCATGTTAACGCGAAGGAGGTTGAGATGTTGGAGATGGAGATTTGGAAGAGGAAATAAGTCTAAGGTTGCACCAACCGTCGCGTCCCTATTTAAACGAACACCTCGCAAACCACAGGTCCACGACAAACACACCTTGCTATTGTGGTTTCTCACAGCCGGCCTTTAGGTAAAACACCCACCATCCACAACTAGAGACCTTGCATTGTTGCAAATGTGGGCGCCTGTGGAACTGTGGAAGGGTGATAGATCTCGTTGGCTTCGACACACTCGATCGGCACTACTAGGCCATTCAAGACCTCATATACACGATAACAAAAGGTCGTAGAACAGCTTGTCGATCGAGCTGTGACCTTTATTTGTCCCTATACTAGTGGGTTTGTGTTTTTGGCGTGGTATTTGACATGCGTGAAGGTACTCACGAAAACCTGGTTCAATTTGAGTCTTCTTAACACCTCTCCACATCCCTACCGTACGCCCTGAAGGGCCGGTTCCCTTTTCGCCAACCATTTCTCCCCCACTACACTATTAGTACTGACGCTCCTGGCCATGCCAACAGTAAGAAGTGACTGGAGTAAGACGACTCGTTGACTGTTGCGGAGTTTATAGTAGCGGGGGTTAATGTTGACACATGATTGCACCTGCCATATGGAGCTTCGAGCGCGCGTCATGTAAATTGGAGAGTAGATTGGAGTACTAGGCGTTTAGTATGTAAAAAGAGGACATGCTGTACAATGCGCAGCCGTCTGGAAGATATAAATACATAGAGGTGGGTCGCGCGTCTATATGCCCATCATCGCTCTTCGTCTTTGCTAGGATCCTGGTGAGATAAAACCTATATGAGCATTACGCATGGATGAACTGACGGCTGGCTTAAGCAGGCATAGTGCGGCACTCGAATGAGTTAGACTTGAAACTCACACAATATCAAGCCTTACAGAGCACACAAGAAGAACCAACTGGACATACTTGCCAACCTGTCTGGTGAATACAGCTGTGAGTCACTATGACTTCCAGCTCGACGCAGCCTGGTGCAGCAGAAAACAAATCGATCCTGACACCAGTCATGACCTTGGAGGGACATGAACCATGGAATACTTCCTCGCCGAAAGAAGATGGTTCCACCGAGTACAAATATGTTTGGCCCATTTTCTATTTCCCCGACGGCAAGCAAATGATCAGCAGATCGGGCGATAAGACCATTCGGCAATGGAACCTACGGGAAGGTAAGGAGATTGAGGAGGCTCGGGAGGTCTGCGAGCATACACAAGCAATGGGGGGATCAAAGGATGGTCGATGGATTGTCACTGCGAACGATGCGGTGCTCAAAGCCTATGAGGTTGAGACGGGGATCGTGAGAGAATTTCTTGAAGGCAATGACATCACCCGCATCGATATCTCTGCGGACAGTACGTTGCTAGCGGCTTCGTCAGACGATGGGACAGCGCGGATGTGGAACTTGGACACAGGCGAACTCGTGGCTGGTCCATTCAAATGTAATGATCCTTGTGTGGGCGCACTTCGATTCTCGGCAGACTCTCAGAAGTTGGCGATTATATCAGATTTTGGGCGATGCCTACAGGTGTGGGATATCCAAACACAGAAATTGGATGTACAAAGAAAATCTACTCATCACAGTGGGGCGTCAACGTCGCCGGTCTTCTGGACAACAAAAAACAAATCCATCATAGCCGCATTCAGCTTTATTGCAGATGACGAACCCACGACGATCTATGAGTTTGACGCGTCGACGCTCAAGACTGTTGGAGCTCCTTTCAAAGGGCACACTCGTACCATCCGTTGTCTAGCACTCTCACTTGATTGTGTTCTTCTCGCCAGCTCTTCTTTCGATGACACCATCAAGCTCTGGGGCTTCGAGTCCCGCCAGCTCCTCGCTTCATTCGACGTCGAAACTCCCTTCTGCCTCGTCCTCTCGCCCGATTCACGCCAACTAGCCTACACGAATTGGGATGATTGCAATATCTACATTTATGACATCCCAACTGACATCCTTGCTAGCGTTGGGCTTGCAGAAGAACTGCAGCCTAGTGTATGTATTCCCCGCATAGATCCTTCATGTATATGCTAATATCCTTACAGACCAATAAATCTAAACGTTCACGCCACGCTGGTATACTCAACGTACGTGGTACTGCTCTTTCCTTCATCTACACCACACCATTCTCTATTACAGTCCGATGCAACACGTCGTCCCGTGAGCCGTAAACCAGTGATAATACCTGTCATGTCTCCCATCCCTCGGCCTTTGCCTCCAAGCGACCCAAATACTTTCCTTTACTTTTTACGCAAACTACTTCCCTCCTCCAATACGGACGCAGTCAGTCCTATTAGCGCCGATGAGCTCCATAATCCCCTGGATGTATGTATCATTTATCTGTTTGCTTTGCAGTTGACTTGACGGTTTCCTTACAGTTCCCTGCTACTTACCCCCTACCTCGTCCACTTATAAAACCAGAGGAGAACGTGAGTGCCGGCTTTCGCCATTATATATTCGACTTACATTCTTCTAGTCTCAACCCATACCAGCACCACCCACCACTCAATCCTCCGTCGTCAATACTCCCGCAACCCTCAAATCCAGCTTACATCGAATGTCAACCTGGCGGCCCTTTCAGACAGATCATGCGTCACTGGCTATCGTCGATGTTCCTCTCGCGCCGGGTAAACTGGTATGCTCGTCTCATTTTCTTCTCGTATTCCAAATCTCACGCATCTATGTATAGCGGTACGCAACAGCGGGTGCTCCCGGTGACGATGATGACCTGATACGTGACGAAGACTATATTTCTCCTCCTCCTTCCCCCACACCCGGCTCACGGCCAGGGATTGCCAACACCGGACAGCATGGAAGCGGCCGGTTCTGTCTCTGCTTCTAACTGCATTCAAACTTGTTCCCGGTATCTCGTAACTGTAACCGTTGCTCCTCCCATGCGTTGTCCTCCGTACACTTATGTTGAATTCATGGTCACTATACCCCCAACGTGCTCAAGGTATATGGTCAATCCCTGATGGTCAATCCTGTTCAAACTCTACAGTGGTCCGAGTCACGAAACTTTTCCGTTTTACAGTGAACCACGTTAGTTCGAGGACCCCCTGTACTGTCCTGCATCTGAACTGGTGCCATTAGAAGGTCAGTCCATTGAAAAATGTGACAATCTGATCTTTCGGGCTTCAGGAACAGCTTTCAGATTTGTGAGAGCCTGCCTGGTCTGCTCCTCGATGCCGCCTTCAACGATCTGCATTGTGGAAGGTACGAGGGGGATGCGATCCATATTCATTACACGCTTTGTTGGCTTGCGAATAGGGCCCAACGGCTGAGGGCGCGTTGGACGTCGAAACAGATGTGATCGTAGACATTTGTTGTTTTATTCTGACAACAGCAAGTGAAAAAACGGGGTATTGCGAGAGATGAAGGCGGTTGTCGTACAACAGGAAGGCAGACATGTAATTTACGAGATGGACAGGATATAATACGCTCTCGATGCGCCTGCGTCAGTAACACTGTCAAATTCGTCATGTTAGACGATTATGTGGCCTGGAGCAAGAGGACAAGATGTTGGCTTTCGAATGAGATGGTACTAGTGTTGGATACGAAGGATATATCATACAGTGAGTGTGATTTGGATTGCAATTTTAAAACCTATACGATTATCTGGTGAACCTGGCAGGCTATGACGAATTCAAATATCTTTAAAGTTCATCATTGAAAGGAGACATGTTTCCAGAAGGGAGGCACCTTCTAATACTTAAGTGTAAACCAATGTCATCATTTCATGAAATAGGGAGCTAACGACATCTGTTTAAACAAAAAAAAATCGCATAGAGATATCGGTTCTTCTATTCATCATCTACATCTAAGTTGCTTTTCAGGATCTGCAATAAATTCGAACGAAGGAACGAGGGTAGCATATTCTGCTCGTTCCCGTTCTGTCGTCCACACTCCGTTGCCGAAAATCAGCCTCTGCCAGGGGATATTTTGACCGCGTCAAAAATTCCATAAACGATCTATGTGGCCACCACCCCGCATTACTAACTTCAAGTACGCGAAGGTTGGGGAGTGTGATAACGTTGAATAGGCCAAGGTCCTCCTCTTCTGTGTTCCAAAGTACACTCCAAGACATGCGTAAAGACTGAAGGTTGGCGTGCATGACTGGTTCTGGAGTCTGGATGGGGTAGAATTCTCCAATCATCGTCAGGGAACGGAGATTGGGACATAGACGGAGTATGCGGGTGAATGCATCCAGTCCATCTATGCTGATCTCGATATGGGTGAGACGGGCCCATGCGGAATCAGTGAAGAAATCTAATTGCTCCCGGTTGAAGCATAGATCCAACATGTTAATCCTACGCAGATTAAACGGCAGTTTCGAGAGTGTGTGGCTAGTAGCTCGCGCAAGATCATAAAGAACGTATTGGCGTATCGTAAGTTCCTTGAGTGCGTGGAAGTCTTCCATCATGAAGGGGCTATCGCAGGATAGGAAGTCGAGCGAGAGAGACGAGATTTGCTGAACATATGGCTGGAGCAGGCTTCGTGGTTCGCTCCAGTCAGTGCGAGTCTTGAGTCTCAATGAGAGCAGACATCCTCCTGATCGCTTGAGCCAGAAGTCATAGCAGAAAGCTCTCTGCTGCCAGTCATCGTACCCGACTTCCAACTGCAGCCTGCACCATAACATGGGCAAGCCCACAGCAACCTCCCTCCATCGGCGACATATCTTGGTCAATAGGATAGGAGCCTGTCTTGATGCATGCACCAAATGCTCGTCTTCGGGCAGACAGTAAAGGAAGATTTCCGAAAGAATTTCAGTCGGCAAGTGCGAAATAGGCGATGAAAAGCTTCCGCGACAAGTGTTGGACTGAATGACATCGGCCTTCTCTTCGACGAGTTGCGGCTGGCGATAGCTAACACCGTTCCTGACGGTTTGAAGGCCCGAGTCCTCGCCTACAATCGGATCCAACTGTTGAAGTAGATATTTATTATATTCAGACGCAAAGACCTCCAAAACTAAGCACTTACAAGTTTCCGTAGTACATCAGTAGTAGCTGAGACCGATGGTGAATCAACTTTTGAATTGAATGTCCGCATGTTAACGAGGAGGTCGAGATGTGGAGATGGAGATTTAAAGGAGGAAATAAGCCTAACGTTCCGCCAAACGTCGCGTCCCTATTTAAATCAACGCGTCGCAAGCCACAGATCCACAACAACCACACCACACCTTGCTATTGTGGTTTCTCATAGCGCGGTCTTTAGGTAAAGCACCCGCCATCCACAACTAGAGACCTTGCATTGTTGCAAAGGTGTGGCTGTAGAACTGTGGAAGGGCGATCTCGCTCAATGGCTTCGGCATACCAGATCAGCACCACTAGGCTATTCAAGACCCTCTATGTCTTCACAACAACTGAAGGTCGTAGAACAGACTTGTCGATCGAGCTGTGAACTTTATTTTGCCTTGTGTTTTTGGTGTGATATTTGACAGGCGTAAAGGTACTCACGAAAATCTGATTCAATTCAAGTCTCCTTGACACTTCTCCACATCCCTACCGTACGTACTGAAGGGCCGATTCACTTTTCGTCAACTGTTTCTCCCCCACTATATTCTTAGTACGGAGTCTGCTACTCACGCCAAACGTAAGAAGTAACTGAAATAAGATGACTCGATGAGTGTCGGGTGGTTTGTAGCAGCGGGGGTTAGCGTTGACGCATGGTTGCACTATGCCATAGGGAGCTTCGAACGCGCGTCACGTAGAGTGGGAAGCCTGTAGGTCAGAGTACTAGGCGTTATGTAAAAAGGAGTAAAAAAAGACATGCTGTACAATGCACAGCCGCCTGGAAGTATCAATATAGAGGTGGCACGCGCGCCCATATGCCCATTATCACTCTTCGTCCTTGCTAGCATCCTGGTAAGATAAAAACCCATATGAGCCTGACGCATGGATGAACTAACGGCTGGCTTAAGCAGGCAAAGTGCGGCACTCGCATGAGCTAGAGTTGAAAACCACTGAATATCAAGCTTATCCTGACAGAGCACGAGGAGAACCCACCGAACAGATCCACTGTTAACCGACATAGTTGGCAACCTGTCTGGCAAATACAGCTGTGATGGCTTCCAGCTCCACGCTGCACGGTTGCAGCAGAAAACAACTCGATTCTGACACCAGTCATGACATTAGAGGGACATAAACCATGGAAATACTCCTTTCCGAATGATGATCATCCCACCGAGTACAAATATATTTCGTCCATTTCCTATTTTCCCTGACGGCAAGCAAATGATCAGTGGGTCAGGCGATAAGACCATTCGACGATGGGACCTGCAGGAGGGTAAGGAGATTGACGAAGCTCGGGAGGTTTGCGAGAATGATATACGAGCAGTGAGTGTATCAAGGGATGGTCGATGGGTTGTCACTACTCGTCTGGAGGAGCTGAAAGTCAGTGAGGTTGAGACGGGGATCGTGAGAACATTTCATGAAGGCAATCGGATCATCAACACCGATATCTCCGCGGACAGCACGTTGCTAGCAGTGGGGTCCGAGTCGATTGATCGTAAAACACAAATATGGAGCGTCGAAGTGCGGATATGGAGCTTGGACACAGGCGAACTCGTGGCTGGTCCATTCGAATTTGGAAATGTTCTGACCCTGGGCGCACTTCTACTCTCGGAAGCTGGCGCTGATATCAATTTCACCTTACCAGCATGTGGAACATTACCTTCAAGTGTGGGATATCCAATCACAGAACTTGGTTGTACAAAAATCTACTACCAGGCCGGGACCAAGGGGTCCGGTATTCTGGACAAGAAACAACAAATCCATTGTAGTCCCATTCAAATTCATGGATGACAAGTTTCCCACAACGATCTATGAGTTTGACGCGTAAGCTCCTTCCCTCCTCTTCTCGTACAGATGCGGTTCGCACCGATATCGATGAGTCTTGTAATCCCTTAGACGTATGTTTTTTTACCTGTTTGCTTCACACTTGACTCGACGGTTCTCTTGCAGTTCCCTGCTACATTTCCCCTACCGCGTCCACTTACAAAACCAGACGAGAACGTGAGTGGGGCCCTTCATCATTACATATCAAGCTTACATTCTTCTAGTCTCGGCCCACACCAGCACCACCCACCACCCAATCCTCTGCCACCAATACTCTCGCAAACCTCAAATCCAGCTTACATCGAATATCAACCTGGTGGCCCTTCCAGACAGATCATGCATCGCCGGCTATCGTTGATGTTCCTCTCGCGCCGGGTAAACTGGTATGCGCCTCTCATTTTCTCCTTGCATGCTACATCTTATCCATGTATAGCGGTACGCCACAGCGGGTGCTCCCGGCGACGACGACGACCTGATACGTGACGAAGACTATGTTTCCCCTCCTTTCCCCCATCCCAGCTCACACTCAGGGATTGTTAACGCCGGACAGCATGGATGCAGCCGGTTCTGTCTCTGCTTCTAGCTGCATTCAATATTGTTCCCCGCTATCTCGCATGTAACTGTAATCGTTGCTCGTTGCATGCGTTGTCCTCCGTACACTTATATCGAATTCATAGTCACTATACCCCCTAAAGCGCGTGAGATATACTGATGGTCGATCCTGTTCAAACTATACTACAGTGGTTTGAGTCACGAGTGTTTTGTTTTACAGCGAACCACACTAAAAACAGTGCGAGGACCTCCAATACTGTCCTTAGGGTACCGCACGGGTAACACCGAGGGTCGGAAAGTTGACACCGCACCCGCACCCGCCAACACCGTACCCTTCACGGGTACGGGTACACACCGACCCGTCAATGTCGCGGTTTATGGAAAACACCGCGGTGTCTCTGAACACCGCGGGTACATTACCAAGAAGAGTGTATTAAGTATTAACAACAATGAAATAAAATAGTACTACTTTTCCTTGTCATTCTCCTCTGCTTCGACTTCATTTCGCTTCCGTTTTTGAGTCCTGACAGCGGCTAAAAGGTCCTCCATCACCAGAAGATCACTTCTGCCCCACGCTCCGAGGCAGAGAAAGGCACGAATTGTTGATGGTGCGAGTCGGTTGCGAGTAAAATGAAGGAGCTGCCGGCCCTGCGAGAAGACACGTTCAACCGCAGTTGATGTTGCTGAGCAAGATAATAAGTATTGATTGATTGAAAGAGGATTCGAAGGAGACATACCTGGGACAGAGAGATAGTCGAGTGCCATCCGATGCAGCATTGGATAAGCACGGCAGTTGTTTTGCCACCATGCGAGTGGGTCCTTGGTTTTCACAGTTGGTAATCGAAGAAACTCATCCAACTCGCTACTAGTAGTACGAGACATGGAACCAAGTGAGTAGTCACCAAAGTCATCCTCGTTCTGTATAGTTGTCAGTGTCAGTGCAAAATTAAATGTTGCATACGGACTGTGTCTGCTTCAATGTCATCAGTAATCTCGGCAGATTTCTCGTATTTATCAATAAACTCTTCGTGCTAGAATGATTCACGGGGGTACAAAAGACATGACAGAAATCAGTATAGCATTCACTTGTGATCCTCAAGCTCTCAGAGGAAGGAAAAACAGAGAATCAAACACGGTGTTCAATGGCTGTCGCGCGCCTGGTTCCCGATTTGGTATATTATACCCGCCCAAACACCGTCAACCCGCGGTGAATGGCCACGGTATGCTCAAGGGTACGACTATCCTACTCCGTACCCGTACCCTCCAAACCCGTCAGCATAGAACCGCGGTGTTACTCGTACCCGTGCGTTTCCCTAACTGTCCTGCGTCCTGGTGCCATTAGAAGGTCAGTCTATTGAAAATGTGACATTCTGGTCTTTCGCAGAGAGCATCTCAGAAAATAACCTATCTAAAGTCAGAGGGACGATGCTTGTCAGATCGTTTGCAACCTTGATAAAACGATTCTCTGCCACGCTGGCTGCAGTAGCAGTATTTTGCAGGATTTGCCACGATGGTTGAAGTATCATTCCTATTTCTAAATTCACCGAAACCGATACTCTTCCGAACGTGTATTGTGCGAGTTTCTGCTATTGTACGTGTATTCAACGATCATAATGTTATGATGGTCCCAGCCTTCTTTCTACATAGCAATTCAAGGTACTCTTCATAAAGAGCCCACGGTGAAGCACTTGTTTGCCACTGATACTGAAGATAAATGACGCGTTGTCAGTAGACTAGAAATAGTTCATAGTATGAGAGACCAACCTGTTATGCACTCAATCTCAAACAAAAGACCTTGACACGCAGATTGCACCTAACATCAATCGATTCGATTTTGATATAACCGCACAACTGACAATAAACACGAAAATGGCACATCCATGAGAACTTGTGATACTTAAGATAAGATTATGTCGATTAGCCTAGTGCTACAGTCGATGAATTACATGGATGCTACTTTCACGACAACTTTTTTCTCCGTTCACTTGTCCATTCCGTACTACATTAAGAGCCTCCTGACAGCGATCTTGCAGTGATCCTTGATCAAATAGGTGAACTCGATTGGGTTGAATGGTAGCTCCCTCCAACAGCCGGGGGAGAATCTTCGGCATCAGGTTGTCACGAAGGTACTCGTTCTGCGCCAACGTATTGAGTCACTTGATCAAAACTAGTCTCAAAATACTCACCTGCTGATACAGGATCGCCTTTACGCCCACAAGTTTCACCGAATCTGGGAAGGGGTTCATGTCGGCCGGTAATTCCATCCACATTTGCTCGTCTTTCCCTGCAGTGTACTTGCTGCCTGCCGTCACTGGCAATAGCATAGCTGCCACACCGTCGGAGCTAACAACGCTAGATATGCTCTTGAGTGTGCTCTCAGTGGTGATGCAGTCCATAGCAAATCGAAGATTTTTGCCTGCGGCGAGTAGGATCTTCTCGGGCATATCATCAGCGCTGTAGTCTATGACATGGGTGGCACCAAGAGACTTGAGGTAGGAATGGTGGCGAGGGGACGCGGTTGCAATGACCCGCTTGTACCCAGCAAGGGCCAACAGCTGAACAGCGAATTGACCAGACGTAGCTCCTGCACCATAAACAAGGATAGGAGTTTCTGCATGGGGAGGTGGTACAGAGATTGGGAACGTGGGGGGAGCAAGTCCCAAACAATCAAACAGCGTGTAAAATGCAGTTATGAAGTTGTCTGGAATTGTTTGCAGCTGCTTCGAGCGAGTAATCATCGGGGAGCTGCAAGCCCCGTCAACACTTGCATTAAAAGCGTGAGCTATTTCAAACCTTGGCGCAAGTGCAACTTTGTATGATTGCGCGTTCTTGTAAACCCTTCCCCTTTGATCCTGCCGTTGTCAATGCACAAACCTAGAAAAAAAGATGGGTATTAGACTTGTTCGTTCATCTCGCACATATATTTATGCTCGCCTTGTCTCCCGTTTGCAGGCCATCCACATCAGAGCCAACGGCTTCTACAACTCCACTGACATTGAAGCCTAAAACGACTGGGTATTCGCTGTTTATCATTTGTCCATAATCGGCCATGTACATGTCAAGGGGTATCACTGCGCTGAATGCCACTTTTACCAGCACCTCACTGGGTCCAGGAGATAGTGTTGGGACCTGAATCACAGATGTTATGCCAACGGCTGTACTCGCGAATGCAAGATGAGTTTGCGATGACATGGCAGTAAGTAGGAGGTCGATGAGCCAAACCTAGTATATTTGATGTTGGATGCTGTCACGCATGTGCTTTTATAGCTGAAGGCGACACAGCGATCTCTATTTGCGCTCTGTCGAATTCTGACGGTCCAACCATATACCGACGGTACTCACGAGTCCAATTGCGATGATCGCAAGTCTGCGCCACTGACACTCCTAGCATTATCATTCAGCTAGCAAGTGATGATGACGGACAGAGTCAGCAATACTACAAAGTAATGCAAAAATTAGTCACGGACAATGTGATGGTCATGATCGATTTTGGAGTGCTTACGAAGATCATCATTACCCACTAAGCTGCTTCCGTGAACAACGGACGCTTATGAATCATACTGTACTGTCATGTCGAGCAACGTATGCATAAGATTAGAATTCAAATGTTTGTAAGGAGTCTCAAGAACGATTCTGATTCCTGAAGTAGGTTGAATCTGAACATGTTTGGTTCTGTTTGCGTTGCCTCCTTCGTCCGACATTCATCTCCTCTTCTAGCACTGTCCCGTGGATTCCACCTCCCGGGATCGATTGCTCGTAGATTGTCATGGGTCCATGTGTATTCTGCAATCCAAATTTCCCTGAAAAGGCCGATTTGCTTGAAGACGATCGACACCCGATTCTTGATTTCCAGACACTCCGTCGTCAAAGTACCCAGCACCCGGATACTTAAGCAGCGCAATGTCCATCAATGAACTCATCATCAGCACCATCACTCTCAGCCTCCGAACTCAATATCTGCCTCGGACACTGGCCTCCAACAAGATGTCCTACACCACCCTTAACGTTTACACCACTTCTCCCTCTTAGTTCCCTCGCCAGCGTCCTCAAACTTTTGCGCTGTCTTTGCTCAAGTACAGTCTCCATGTGAAGTGCATGCGATGTACGCAGACTTTCACCAGGTGCTTGGCGCTTCCAACGGGCAAAGGAAGCGGGGCGAGAGCGCGCTGAAGAAGATCTTCGGTGTCAATTAACAAGTGTGACAACACGTGTCTTCAAGCGCATTATCCCATCCAAGATCAAGCTCTCTCGTTCGATGTGACAAGATGATCCTTGTTTTCCGAGCAACTCCACCAGAACGCGGCACTTTTTCCCACTGCCCTTGAGCACGTCTTTTTCGAAAGCAAGACAGTTTTTACTCTCTTCATAGGATGGGTAAGCGCATCTACGCTATTCTTAACTGCCTGGCTGACAGACTAGGTCCTCTATAATATGTAGTAATGAAATTTTGACTTCTCGGACAAACTAAGGACTCTACACCCACCCAACATCGCAAACCACCACGGGTAAGCACGGTGTACGTCCGGATCTCCATAATGCACACCGTACCCGCACCCGCCACACCCGTCAGCGATATACCGTGGTTCTCCCAACAGCTGGCTCTAAGCTCAGCGAGTATTCTGGTGGATGATGATTCAGTCAATTCCCTATCAGTCGTGCGTAGCAAAGCGAAGTTCAGGATTTTTAAATTCATGTAAACAATAAGCTCTAGCTCCAAGGAAGGGACGTGAGCGAGGCTGATGTTGTAGGCAGAGGGATCAGTGTAGGGGTGGAATTGTACCTCTCCTTCTGAAGAGTCAATACAATCTATAACGTCAACTTCATCCACGGTAGCTTGAAGAGTTCACGGGCTTCCACCCCTTCTCGGCTTTTTGGAATATTTATGAGGTGAAACATCTCTTGAAGATCCTCTTATTGTATGGGGAAGGGGTACAGCGATGGTTGTACATGTACCAGCGTTCAGACGAGTCTCGACTAAGAATCTACAGCAACTTGCAGGCCGTTATTAGTTAAAGTGATTCACTGAGCCGTCGCAACAAGTGTCAGTCCCATCAGCTATTTCCAGGGTGTGTTTATATTGATATGCCTATAGGTTGCATATTCTGGATTGTATATCCGCTGGCCCTGGCACGGGGCTCCTACCGGATGATAGCGACGTTCTTGCTGCGAAGTTCTGTCATCCAAGTCGCGTCATCTGCTTCATCCTTCAGTACAGCCGTCTGGCCAAATCAATTACCAGGGCCGCTGATCCGGCGCATCGCTATGATTGGGCGAACTACAGGTTGATCTTGGTGGAGCCGCCTTATTTGCTGTTATGATCAATCGATAGTGCTGTCAATGTTAACCTGGGACGCTGGCAGATGATCCATGGCCTCCAGCTGTAATCAAATTCACACCATTCTTCTCACCTACTTATCGCCAAGAAGATATGCAAGCTTACATATCGCGTTTTCTCCCCTTCCCCTTAAGAATGGCCACTCCCGGCGATCCAACAGCGGTTGACACCATCGACACAATCAATGACTTGCACAAAGATGTCCCCTGTCATGCCCGTGATGACCTTGAGAAGAGATTACTGAGGAAGATTGATTTGCGTATGTCCATACTACTGATTCTATATACCCTGAACCTGGTGGGTCCGAGGTTCTTGCGAACTCTATTATGATACTTACTGTGCATCCTAGATTGACAGAACCAATATTAGGTGTGTTACATACCGTTGGACTTGCATTAATCTGACATCTACAGCAACGCTCGGTTACAAGGATTTGAGAAAGACCTGCACCTGCATGGGCCACAATATGCCACGACTTTGTCCATCCTACTCGTTGGATACATTATGATGCAAGTGCCAGGGTGAGTTTCGTCGTTCATCAAGAGGCAGCTGAACGTAACTTTTCTTCAGGAATATGTTCCTGCACTGGCTGGAGAGACCTTCTGTCATCATTCCGTGTTGTATGTTAGTATGGGGTACAATATCAGTATTAACAGGTTTGCCGACACTGACCATTCATGGAGATGGCTGCTAATGGTGCTTAGGGATCACAACGAAGTACACATCTTTGTTTTGCACCATTCAAATCCGGACTCTGATTGTTTGACCTATAGTTATACTGGGATTGTTGTCGCCCGCTTCTTTCTTGGCTTCGCCGAAGCTCCCTTCTTCCCCGGGATGATATTTCTTGTATCTAAATGGTACAAGCGGGACGAGCTCGCCTTGAGAATAGCTCTCGTTACTTGTGGAAGTTTTCTCAGCTCCGCATTCGGGTCCCTGTTGGCATCTGCTATACTCCACGGCATGCAAGACAAACTTGGTCAAGCTGCATGGAGGCAGGCGACGATCATCTTTTATCACTCCTTGGAGCTGAATGATTTGTAGATGGTTATTTTTCATTGAAGGCGGGGTTACCATCTTGGTCGCGATTTGTGCGATATTCGTACTCCCTGATTTCCCGCACAACACCAGGTGGATCACCCCGGAGGAAAGAGCACTTGCCATCTCTCGCCTTGTAGAAGATGGCTATAGTGAGGCTGACGAGCTTGGGAAGCAGACGACCATGCAAGGAGTGCGGGATGCTGTATCTGACTGGAAGGTGTGGTGGTTTTCGGTTGCAGCCATGTTCCAGTTAGTGGGGCAGTCTTTTTTCATTTACTTCCCAACGCTGTGCGCAACACTGGGATATGATACGACTGTAACACTGCTGCTTTGCGCTCCTCCGTGGGTGTTTGCGACTATAGTCGCATTTATTCTTACATGGTTAGTGGATCATTTCTATCAGAAAATTGACTCTCACGGAGATCAGGTACTCTGACAAGAAGCAAATGCGTTACAAATGCTTTGTTATCTCTAATGCATTCGGCATCCTTGCATTCACCATATCTGCCCTTACGATGAACAAGGCTACGCGCTATATTTCACTGTAAGTGGTATCGCCACTCGTGGGGCACCACTCTTGTACTCAGAGACGTACAGGTTCCTGATGGCTCAAACCCTCACTGGATACATGTTGCTCTTAGGGTGGATCAGCAATATTTTCGCCAGAGAACCCGCAAAGCGTGCCATTGCCATTGCTTTGATGAACGCACTGGGGCAGACAGGCGGTATTATTGGATCGTCAGTGACCTTGTCATCGATCTCTTGCTCCCGCGAATTATTTACGACTGCATTTTTCGCACAGATATGTATGGCCGTTGAAATGGGGCCCGACATATCGTTATTCCTATGTCATCTGCATCGCTGCACTTGGAGTTTCGACAGGCATGTTTGGTGGTATGTATTTGTATTTGAAGCATTTGAATGAGCGGATTGAGAGGAACGAGCGGAATGCGAAGGACGTCAACGAGATTCAGGAGATTAGTTTTAAATATATGGTGTAGTTGAAGGTTGAAATACTGATCGCTTCTGACAGTTGTCTGGGACTCTTGACAGTAACATTGCTGTTCGACGGCGTTATTGATGATCAAAGAGTGCAGTGACGATGCGCTGGGGGTGTCGATAAGGACAACGAATGCAACGATATATTTGTCTGCCCAGACCTGTTTCTCTCTCAAATCTACATCAGCATGGTACACCATCAGGGAAATCTGTGATTCCTAAGAGCCAGTTCGGCAACGAGATGTTGACCAACATTTGGCTGAACCCGTGTGAGATGTTCTCGGCTTCAAGCGTCCCAGACGTCGGACTTCGAACCTTACTGCTCCTACCTGTACATCTACCATGAATTCCTATCTTATTGACTGTCATCGTTGCCAAAGAATCTGTACTAGTGTTCTTGCCCTTACTGCCATCTGTGCAAACTTCACAACAGTACTCATGGCTCAACCTGAGATCACACAAACGGCCGCCAACAACTTGAAGCCAAAGGCACAATGGCAAGACTCAGAGGTGGATATCCTCCTTCAACATTTCATCCAGAATCACGCAGTGATTGGCAATGGTGGGAACTTCTCAGGGCCTACCTTCAACAGCGCAGCTACTGCTATCAATTCCGATGAGACAATTCAAACAATGGGCCCACCAAAGATGGGCAATATGGTTAAGACCAAATGGACCACAGTACGTGATCTTATCTTGATTGATCATGATCTGATCAGACTATCAGCTCAAAAAAATATTCAATCAAATCGAGGCCTACTGCAATGTATCCGGCTTTCATTGGGACAATGTGCGGGGAGCTGGGATTGAGGGCCCTGCTGCTGACAGCGTTTGAAATACATATGTTGCTCCAAGGGTACGTGATTGCATATGTTGTGACACTCACTAACATTGAAGTAATCACGATCTGCAATGCACCCCTTTCGCAACAAAGGGTGGCTGCTATATGATGATATGTATACCATCTTGGGAGAAAACAGTGGCGCTTGTGGAAGGCATGCCTTCCACCCTGCTACCACAGCCCCTGCCTCCATTGATGTTGATATAGATGATGTGCTTGATGGGGGGCTTGCCCTTCTTGATGTAGATGGGGGAAGCACGTCTGCTGGAGCTGCTGGCCCTAGCAATGTGCCAGACATGAGCGTCGACCTGATGATGCCACCTAGCACCCTGTTCCTTGCAACCTCCACTGCTACTGGCTCCCAGTCCAGCATGTTGGCATTTGGCGTCTCCAATACCTTTCTTGTCTCTTCTTGCTTCCTGGTACTATACAGTGATTCACCTTCGTTACTCAGCCACACGATTATGTAACAACTCCGTTTGGTATTAGTAGCAACCCACTTGTATGATTCTCCTCAGCATTTGTTTCCCTCTCACTGAGGTATGTTGTTCTCACATAGCGTATATACACTTGTACTCACAGAGCCCAGTTCTGACTTGCTCTAGGTACTGAATACAGCGTTTGTTTCCCTCTCTGTTAAGACCGTACTCAAGAAGTATCGGATCCGAAGGGCTTCGGCCTCAGCTCATGCGCTGTGCCCCTTTCCCGAGTCTTGCCCCTTATTTCAGAGTGCTAGAGTATCGCGTCTAGTGAGATGGGTAAGTATTGTAATGGATCCGTTAAGGCTTCTGGATATCGAACATATAGAGTAACGGCTAATCCGGATTGGATCCGAACTAGAAACTAACGGGTGAGGACTGTCCGAAGACAGAGACAGATATATAGACTATAGGAATCAATCCTAAGTCTCGGAGTAGACAAGAGTATCGTACTCGAGTCCGGACGGATAACGGAGGGACTTAGAGTCCTGACAGAATGAGTGCAATCTAAGATGATATTCGAACTGATCTACTACAGCGCATGTACAAGGGTTTATATACTATGGATAACTAACGGAATGATCAATAAGCAAAGGCGCGAGGCTATGTACGAAGTATAAGCAAAGTATGTGTACCGCATATCAGTAAGTCGGATGGATAACAAATCATAACCAGGAATGAAGTATAAGCTAAAGCGGATCAGTAAGCATAACGGAAGTAAAGGATAACCGGTATACCGGTGTACAGGAATGCCGAAAGGAGATGAACGATAGTTAGAGTTATATGAACAGGACATGAAATAAGGATTAGATCGGATCTGTGGACCAGACGACGGATATGTCCATCGGATCTGTACCCGGGAATATGGTATATGACACTCTTGCTGAGTTCTGACTCGCTCTAGCCATTACAGCAAACGCGTGTGCACCAACACTTTGCTCAACTCCATGGAGACATCATTTTACAATTCTGGTGGCACTCCCATGTCCAACTATGCCAACAGTCCCCAGTCATCATCTCTCCCCCTTTCGTCAACATTGGTGCCATCATCCCAGCCATTGTCCCAGCCACCAGCCTTGAAGAAGGTTTGAGTGTTGATATATGGTAGCTCACAGACGGGGGTGAGCAGCACTGCTAAAGTCGCTGCCAAGATCATACCAGCGGCCGCCGTCATGAACATGCAAGGCACTATAAATTGCCTCACTGACATTATCGAGAGGAATATGATGGCTCCATCTGACCTACCTGTTGTTGTTGCGCCAACCATGATATCCCATGGCCTGTCAATTTTGCGTGGTGCAGATGGAGATCTGCCTGTTTCTCAGAGAGCCAACCTCTTGCAGATACTTTTGCGCTCTGGAGGTGAGAACAATCTTGCTGTATATGTTGGGCTGGAGGATGACTTTGAGATGCGCTGTGCATTTATCTTGAGGCTCCTGGGGTCCATACAGTAGAAACTATCTTACCATTTGTATTGCTGCTCCTTACATTTTTCATACCAACATGTAGTATCTACCTCATGTATCGCATATCACATTCTTCGCAATGCCAATGGATTCTCCATGTCTTCGCTGGTGGGAACGGATCAGGAGTAGATGGCTGTGGTTGCTGCTGGTTGGGAACGGATCAGGAGTAGATGGCTGTGGTTGCTGTTGCTGATGAAAACCACTGTAGTAGGGTGTTTGGGCATCAAGGGTTGCTGAGGGTAGCCCAGGAGTGGTTCAGGAGTGGTTCTCAGTTAGGCAAGCCAGGTTCTGGGGTCTTGGACCCAGTAGAGTAGGCCTTAGAGCGGCGGTGGCAGTAGTCCAGTCTTTGTCTTTTCCCTTTGCAGTAGCACCTAGGTGTCGAGGCCCCAGCCCTCTCCACCTGGTGACTAGAGTGGGCAGACACCATGGCCTTTACCATTGACGACCTGTGCCGCCTTTGCAACATTCCTCAGTCACTCGAGAATGAACTGCCTTATGACAAGTCGCATTGGACAGTAGACTCTCCCCCCCAAAGAGCGCTTCCAATTCACTACATGACTTATCGATATTATCCCCCAAGAAAGACGACACTAGCATTGTTCAGAACAACTTAAGATTCATTCGCCAACGCGCAGCAGTACCCAAACAGAACCCTTCATCTACCCTAGTTATTCCGATTTTTTCCGCACCTACACTTAATAAGACAATGGCAGCAGCAACCCAGGCTGTCATACCGCAACCTAGTTTCTACGGAGACTATTAGAACGGCGAGGAACCTACCAATTGGATATGGAAGTATGACCTCTCATTTCTGCTGTCTTATACGGATGCGGACAAGATAAACAGGTTTGAGCTCCAGTGCGCAGCAGCAAGCCCTGCAGAAGTGTGGTTTGCGACCCTAGGGATGGCAGAGAAAGCCTCCTGGGCCACCTTCCTTGCAGCCTTCAGAACACGGTGGCCTCAACCACCACAGGTAACACTCACAGTTGCACAGAAGAAGGACCAAATTCATGCACTGACCCTCAAGGACGAGGATATCGGAGTAATGATTGAGGAGGACAGAGGCAGAGAGTGGGGACACATTAAGTGGGCAAGGCAGGTTTCACGCATGGCCCAAGGATTCAACGATTGAAGTCCTACAGGACTTTCTATCTGATCAATACACAACTTGGGCTGACTTCAAAACAGACGTTGCCAAAGTCTCAGTGTCGCAACTTGTATGGGCAAAGCAATGGTTAACAATGGAGCGCAAGCTCAGAGAGGATGTTGACAAACTCCAGAACCAAATCAGTAGCAGCCACAAGACATCCACACCATCACCCCAGAACACTCAGAACCCCTACATTGCGCCACCTGCTTATCATTACAGCCCTCACTATGGAACCCTGTCAACGGCACCCCCCACAACAAATGCTCCCACCAGCCACATTCCAGATTCCCCAGATACCACTCGCTCCTCAGACCCCTCAGAACCAGCAGGTTCCTCAGACCCCACAAGGCACCAACCCCTTCACACCAGCAGGACTGGTCGCAAGGAACAACCTATTCTATGGGTATAGAGAGTTTCCTCAGACCCCCACTAGAGCATGAGGAGGATCCCCGGTGGAACATGCATGGCTGGCAGCGCAGCTAGCAACCATCCCCCATCATACAGATCCTGATGCAGGGAAGCAAGCATATACCCAACAGGTCCAAGACTGGCACAACCAGCATGGGGCAGAGGCTATTCTGAACTCTCAACAACCCTACCAACTGAAACCAGGAACCTTACCAATCGGGTCAAGGGAATGTTTCACCTGTGGGATTGCAATGTCACCCCCCACACCAGTCCTACAAATGCACAAATGCACGAACACACCTCTACCTCCGCAGGAGACAAAGTGGCGCGAGATGGTATCGCGCCTGGTATTTAGAGCGCTCATGATGGCGCCCACCGCAGGTCTGTTCATGAACATCCAGTTCATGACACCTGCAATGGCACCACAGATGAACGTGCAGTACACAACACCCCCTCCAGTAGGTGCATACCTGCAATATGGGTACTTTGCACAGGAGGCATATAACATATATGAGAACATGGGAAACAAGTACAGACCGCAGCAGTAGGGGACCTACTTGCAGTCCTGACCTCCAACATCTCAATGTCAACTATATTTACAGTTTCGAAGGATATAGATGCTCACGATGACCAACCGTCCCCCGACCTTTCAGACAACTCGCATAGCCTCCCTTCCACAGCATCACCCTCTGTGCACACATCAGACTTCAACACGTCCATCATCAACTTGCCAATGATAACTCGACTGGTCCATCTTGAAAGCCAGGAACCGGATGACGACCTCATAGTACCAATGTTGGAACTCATCTCACTGAACCTTGTGGACTCAAGTGATCCCATGTCTAGTATAGATTCCGATTCTGATTTCGTTCCTATTTCAACTTTACCATTTTCCGATTCTGATTTTGAATTTATTTCTGCATGTACATCTTCTGAAGAACCCTCTAGCACCCCCTCATGTACCAGTTTATACGAACCCACACTAAGCACTGAACAACTGGACCCAGAGACTCCAGCATCTATAGAACTCAGTACTAGTGTAGTTGATATCGCGCTAAGTGTCATATCTACTCCTGAATTAATCAAAGTTCCTGACTGCTACCTTGGTACAGATGATTGCAATGTAATCGACCTACATCACATCGCAGACCAAGACGACCATATCACCAAGGGAACACCTTTCGTCACGAACATTGCCCTATATGGACCAAACACCACAACATCCCGATTCCGAGCCAACATCGACAATGGGGCTATGATCAACATCATAGATCTTAAAGTGTTCAAGAAAGCTGCCAATCGCCTGAAAAGCTCACATGGTTGACACGCATCCTCCGCATGGCAGATGGATCCGAAGTACCATCGCACAGAGTATGGACAGGGATGTTCCAGTGGAACAAGGCAAAGATTCGCACATCCTTCAAAAGTGTTCAACAGTGGAGGCATCTGGTCCATGCTAATAGGTAAACCTTTACTAGAACAACTTGAAGCTACACATGATTACGCCACAGATACCATCACCATCCCTAATGCACAAAGGCCCATCACAATCTGTAATATCGCAAAACTATCAGCAACCCTCGACCCCGATGTATCACCATGTCACATACCTGTACAACAGCCAGTCGCATCAAAAAGCCAAATACATGATAATGGTTCTGTCGAATGCAACTACGGCACGGAAGTACATGATAATGGTTCTGTGGTGCACAATAATGAACCTGAAGACGGCCCCATCTTCTTAACCGTCACCATACCAGCAAATATTGTACAAAATCAAGAACCAGTCCCAGCACCGCAGATATCTACTAACAAACACTTTATCTTCACAGTTTCCCCACACCTTAGATGCCAGAAGTTCAACAAATACAGGAGTGCACTGGCTGAGGCAGGCGCTCATGTAGTGATTGCTGACCAGCAACCTCAAGTCTCACCAGTAACCAACACTTCCACACTGTCACCATGCTTACCCGCACTGTTTACAGCACCAGACCCAACTGAGAACCATCGTCCCACATCCATATGGCCCATCCTTGAAGAAGAAGAATCAAACCTAGGAGAAATACCTGAATTTAACACCCCTCGAACCAGCACCAACATATATACAAGACATGCCGACCCCTTCAAACCAGAGAGAGTAGCAGAGATAATGAGGCAGATCAAGATCGGAGAAGACTTAACAGAGGAACAATGAACCAAGGTGTGTGGTTTATGCACAGAATTTGCTGATACCTTTGCATTAGCAGTTAGCGAGGTTTTCCCTGTGGACTTCAAGATGTTCAAGCTCACCTTCCCAGAAGGAATGAAATTCACCACCAAAGTCAACCAGAAACCACTCACCCTGCCCCAAAGAGAGTTCCTATATAAATGGCTGAACGAGCTAGAAGCTGCGGTGTCTTCTTAGATAGATGATCTATAGATAAACACCTATAAACCAAATATCTCCATGGTCAGTGATTCAGACAAATACCAATGACTGATAACATGGTTGTTCATGGTGGCTAATTAGCAATACCTAAGCCGCTGTCAGCAGAAGGTAGCTAGTGAGGTCAGTAATGTGAGTGATCAATCCAACAATGCCTGGACAACAGAAAACAACAAAAGAATCACGTATACCTTCTTGTACCAAAAAGATGCCCAACAGCAATCTTACTACAAAGATTTGTGCGAAGCTACAATGGTCACTCCCACAACACAAACAGGTAGGATCACTGGTCAGGACTAGTCAATGCTCAGAGAACTTTTAGTACTATTGAACCTGCTGTCAAGGAACTTGCTTTGAGTATTAAACAGGAAACAGGAACGGACATCCTTGGTGTTCGGCACCAAGCCCCCTTTCAATAGCTAAAGCTGTATGGCAATGAAACCCTAGCTCAGCACCACTACTCAGATGTGTGTGGTCAAGCGCACAATTATCAACTTCAAAGCTCCCCCACTAAGCTATGTAAAGTCTTAGGTGGACTAAGGAGACAACACAAAAGTTGCAGGAAAATAAAAGAAGAATACGGAAAAACAAACAAATGGAGGCAGTACCAGGCTTGGTGGTTGTGGAGGATGATGAGCTCACACTAATGGTGTCTCACAGAAGAGTACCTTCACCATCTTCAACAGCTCTTCACTGTTGTTTGGCTATAGTCACACTTCACACTCAAGAACTGGGGGATAAAAACACACTTTTATTGAGAGAGAAGGGGCTCTTATATAGACAAAATTTAAGGGCTATGCTACCAGTACTTTAAGGTTCCTGTCAAGTCATCTCCAGTCAAACTGAGTCATATAAGCTAGTGTGAGTCATACTGAATCAAGTTGAATCATTGTGAGTCACTTCAGATGGTTGAGTCACTTGGATATATAGATGAGTCATCTTGACTTGGTGTTAGTCATGTGATTTCTCATGACAAAGTGTCACGAATTCCAAATACAAACCATTATTCTTTCTTAAATACTCGTAAAACACCCGTTAAGCGCCCGTCACAAGCGCCCATTGTTAGCGTTCAGCCAGCGTCTATACCTATAACCTTTCCAAACCCTAACCCGAACTTCTCTATTCCATTAGCGCCCACTACTTCTATATCCGATATTCCTGATTTCGACTTCCTTACTCAAGCAGTTAAGTCACGTGACTCTAGAACCTTCGAGAACCCCTGTACAGCCATCACACGTTCCATGACATCATAGTGTAGTTATATTTAGATCATCGTACGATTCCCTTTCTTATTTAATGATTGGCTAGTTAGTTCAGATTCAGATTCAGTCTCCGCTTTAATATATGTATATAGGTAGCTCGTTGTAGTCAGTAGTTCTCCAGTTCAAACCTCTTTGTATTAGCTTACTGCTAGCAATCCTAAGACGTCCCTGCTATCCTTTCCTCTTTTGTTAGATAACCTTTGTTTGAGTCCTAGTCTCTGCCCCAGCGTTAATTCATTTAAAGGGTTTGTGACCCAAAGCAGAAAAGGTCTGGACACTGATTATGTAAGGTACCAGTCCATGTGTTATGTTTGTGTTTGTTTATTACATTTTCTGTTAGGGGCCAAACTGGTGTGGTGCTTTGTATTTAGGGTTTCCTGCATGTTCCCACAGGACAACTTGTGTGGGAAATAATTTTCACAGTCACCTGACATGTGAGAAGTTCATGCTGAGTCATTTTTAAGTCAAACGAAATGAAACTGAATCCAAGAATAAATCTCCAAAAATATTCATTCCTGTAAACTGGGTTTGTAGAAGAATGAGGAGAAAGAAGCAAGTCCTTTTCCTGGGCCAGGCTTTGGCTCAGGATGTTGCAATCATGGTCTTCATGACGCCAGGCTTCTTATGAGAATGTTAGTCAGCCATGCACCAGACTAGTTTGGTGCAGGTCAGCAGGTATTATATGGTGAAATCACCCCGGAGGAGGTTAAGGCAGCAAGCCCCACTGTCTTAGCGCAGAAAGCTCATGGCTCAGGGAGTTTACCTATAGAGGAGTTAGTACACTGCATCAACGACCAATGTGCAGCACACGGACTCCCCACAAGAACCAACCTTCCACCAAGACCACCTCCACCAACAAGCAACGTGAAGGTGGGATCGACACTGAAGTGGAGAGTCTGCCAAAACTTCGCCGAAATCTACCAAGCCAGCCAGGTGCCTCCAGTACTGCAGGGAGACATTCAGACAAAGCAACAAAGGCTCAGTGGACATTGATGGGTTAGTATCATTGACTTTGCAGCAGGATTTTATGCCATACCAGTGGGTGAAGACACTCAACCATACTTAGCCTTTTACACGGAAGGAAGGGAATATGACTGTTACTGTAGGATGCCATTTGGACTGACAGGCGCCCCAACAAACTTCAGCGACATGGCCGCAGTTGCATTAAGAGATCTCATTGCCTTACTATTTGAACTCTACATTGATGATACAGGAATGGCAGGAGACGTATTCAAAGAGAAACTGGGCTGACTCCACAAGTTTTTCGAACACGTTCGCATGATGCATCTCTCACTATCACCTTCGAAAACTCAGTTGTTCATGACGGAGCTCATTTTCGCAGGAGCAAGGGTGGGACAAGATGGAATCAAACCAGATTTGATGAAGATATCGGCAGTCATGAACTGGGAGATCCCCAACATGGTTCATAATTTGATGCAGTTTCTCGGGCTGACGGGTTATTTTAGATCACTAATCAAAGACTACGCAAGGAAGGCAGCACCTCTTACAGACCTTATACATTGATTAGGCACACCACCAGGAGGGCAACACATAGGATGCCATAGATACCGTCAACACCTCAGAACCACACAGCTCAAATCACACTGGGGTCCCTGCCACACAGAAGCCTTTATGAACCTGAAAAAGACTCTAGTAGCGGAGCCAGTACTTAAAGGGCCTCGATTCGATGGCACACCATTCATAGTGACCACAGACAGATGTCAAGACAGATTCAGTGCCATCCTCGTGCAGAAACACACAACCACGCTCCCATCAGGAAGGGTGTCCACTGCCATACACCCTATCGCATACGTGTCTAAACACACATCTCCCACAGAAGAGAAGTATATACCATACATCCTGGAATTTGCAGTACTGAAATTCGCTTTAGATCAATTCTCAGACAACATCTGGGACTCACTGGTAGAAATAGAAATGGACTGCCAAGCACTCCGGGACACCCTCCTCAGCCCTAGCTAAGTGTTGCCCACGCATGTTGGAGGGATGGTATACTGGCATATCACTTCACAGACGTCAGACATTGCGCAGGGGCCACAAACACTGCAGTGGACGGCCTAAGCCATTGCTTCATTGCTAGGGAACCTAGTGCTGGAGATGGTTCCAAGTGGACCGTCAGTGAGGACTGGGAAGCTTCAAGGGGAATAGTACAGGACCTATTTGAAGTATCGTCAGCCTTTCCAATGCCAAACGCTAACCTGATCAACATAGACCCCCTTCGAAAGCAATTCACGAACGAGCCCTTGTTCCTTGAAATCATTGAAGCAATATACGACCTGGATTCAGAGAAACCTGTTAGGGATAAATGGCATGCGTGCCACCACTGTGGGAAACACAACAAGAAGAGAACTGTAAAGTGCTCCTCAAATGTTGGGTCAAAATTGCTATGCCTAGCTGCTATTTCGACCCTAAAGGATTTCTGTACTAGACTCAGAGCTCAGAGAGTAGAATTATCATCAAACAAAAGACTGTGATCCAGACTGGTACTGACACTGGTGAAAGGGATACATGATTATGTAAGCAGTAAAAATGCGAACATAAACTAAGGAAAGTGGTGGTAAGTGAAGGTATGTAAAAAGGGGGAATATCAGCCCAGGGAAAACTATATTGTCACACTGCGCTAAGCAGTTTTTCATTGCTGACGAGAAGTTATGGCGCATACCTAATGACTCTTCCACGCTGTCCTGCATGATTTGGGAATCATGCATGGACATGACTACTAGGTATCCCCCTAAAAGACAAAGTCTGTTAGCTTAGTCCTCAGACTAGTCAACCCATACCTTGGTATCAAACCTTGGTCCAATAGTTTCAGTTTTCCCTCAGTGATTCATGAATCCACCATGTTTTGAAGAAAAGTCATATGTGAGATGGGAATCACATAATGACCTAGTTGATATGAGAAGCAAAATGAAGGTTAAGGTATTGCCTTTCATTTGGCTTATTCACTTTGGCTAGAGAAACCCATAGAGAAAAGTTCAAAGCCTAACAAAAACCTATCTAAAAAGCCCGCGTATTGTGTACTATTATTTGTTTCATTATTTCTGAGTTGTTTTCTCTAGTGTTTCTTTACTTTACTTTTCTATTAGGATGCTCTGACTAATCAGATGCTTCATAAAATTCTACCTACAGGGTATGATGTCATAATGATGTCATAGGACTTCACCTACACTCCTGCAGGTATTTTGGTTGAAAGATATGATATCATAGTGATGTCATAATGATGTCATGTTCCATGGAATTTGCTAGAACATTCCAATGACTCATAATGACTCATAGTGACTCATAGTGACTCAGAATGATGTCATTATCCCACCATGAATATTCTGGAATGTTCTTTTGCACCTGCTAGAACATTCTGCTCCAGTTTTTGGAATATTCTTCTCACATTCTGAAGTCATTACATCACCTTTTTACTTACATAATATTCCCACACAAAATGTATATAAGGAGAGCCCATTCTCCCCCCAAAAAATAGATCTCCCACTTGTTGCATTCAAGAACTCCCACTTGAGCAAATTGAACTCTCACCTAAGAAGCTTCAGTCTGAACAAATTGCTGCTTACAAAGCCCATTTCCTTTGTAAGAACTGTCCAGGCAAGTGCAGGGAAAGTGTTTCCCTTGAGATTACGTAAGTTTCTCGTGATAGAAACCCAGTTTTGTGAGACCAGTGTTCTCACCACGTAGTGTTTACTGACCAACACGAGCTTTGGTCACTGTTGTTATTTGTGAGACCAGCGTTCTCACCAGGTATTTGTATACTGACCAACACGAGCTTTGGTCATTGTTGTTATTTGTCATTGTTTTCTATTTGTCATTTGTTGTTATTTGTGAGACCAGCGTTCTCGCCAGGTATTTGTATATTGACCAACACGAGCTTTGGTCCACGTAGTCACATTTGAGACCAGCTTCTCAACAGTTAACCGTATATTCAGGAAACCAGTTCAAGTGTCTAGACGGTATATCCTAGACAATCCCATAGTTTCAATCAGAGATAATAAAGCTCCGGCTAAGTTAATCTAACTGATTGGTTTAGCGAGCCTCCCAAGAACTCACACATTATCTACCACGAAAGAAGAAAAGTCGTAGACTGTGTTAATCGAGGACTGGCAAGAAGTCTTATCCAGTGTAATTGTGGTGTC